GAGAAAAAGAGAGAGAGAGAAAGACAGAGAGAGAGAGAGAGCGAGAGAGAGAGAGAGCGAGAGAGAGAGAGAGAGAAAGACGGATTTTTCGAAAGAGAGAGAGAGAGAGAGAGAGAGAAAAAGAGGGAGAGAGAGAAAGACAGAGAGAGAGAGAGAGCGAGAGAGAGAGAGAGCGAGAGAGAGAGAGAGAGAGAGAAAGACGGACTTTCGAAAAAGAGATAGAGAGAGAGAGAGAAAAAGAGGGAGAGAGAGAAAGACAGAGAGAGAGAGAGCGAGAGAGAGAGAGAGAGCGAGAGAGAGAGAGAGAGAGAGAGAGCGAGAGAGGCGGCACATCAGGCTGTCACGCTGGCGGCACAGCTTTGGGCCCCTGGAAAACCAGTAGACCAGCACATGATTCTACAAATTTAATAATTCCAAAACATGAAGTAACACATCCCCAAGCAAACAAACTAAATCACACGGTGGGGCTCATGTGAACCCCCAGTTCGGCTAGGCGGAACAGGGGCAGCGTGATTGTGGTCGCCCTTTGAGTGGAATGTCCATCCAATCGGGACTAGTTCTCACTTTATTTCGGGGATTCGTCAAGTGTGCCCCCGAAAGTGGCAACTTTTAAGACCAGCTTGTGGTCCAAAACCAGAGACTTTTTAGCCCGCAGATTTGTTGCCCGTCGGAAGGTGAACGACCATAACAACAGTGGTGAACCTGATGGCGAGTGGGTATGGCCTTCCTGGTCCAACCATTGAATTTCTTCTTCTCTGGCAACTACCTCCCTTGTTGAACATGGTTGCCTGAGCTGGTTGAAAACACCCTTGAGTTGGCCCCGCCCTCCCCCACCCACCCACCCACCCACCCACCCACCCACCCACCCACCCACCCACCCACCCACCCAACCACCCACCCACCCACCCACCCTCGCCCCCGCGTGCAAGGCACCGGTCCTCCGCCGCATCAGGCCGCGATGGGCCCACCTGCGTGCGCTTTCTCAAGGAACTGCCGACCCGAAAGCCCCTCTGCGAATCAACGTGGAACCCAAATGCCGACTCATCCCAAATGCCCTTCCCTAAAAGGAGATTCGCTCCCAGATTCGGACTTCTTACTTTGAGCGCACTCCTGCAGAATAGCATGAAGCCATAAATCTTGAGCGGAATCTCCTTCTGGGGAGCGAAATGGCCACAATGAGCACCCCGTACATGCCACGGTCGAAATATATGCTCTTATCAGATTTCGTCCCAAGCCCAAATGGACCAAATCAACCAGACAGGACATTCGACAAGACTAAACCTCAGCAGTTCGCATTCGTTCTCAAACTTAGCTGAAGCAAAATGATGAGCGTGTCAAAAGGAAATTGGAGGTCGCCGAATGGCGGAACTCATCTTCCTCTGCAGTTTTTGCCAGCGGAAAAAAAAGTCCAACGCGCGCAACTCAGAATGTATGCTGTCGAAAGCGGGCTCCAGCCTTCGGCACTCCCAAAAAAGTTGCCCAGTTCCGCCAAATCGAAGCACGTTCCCCTCACGTGCAATAGGGTCTGTTCTGTCCGAGCATGCTAAGGAAGGAAGACCCAACTCAAGTTGGCAACCCCCAAAGATGATGGCTGAACCTGGCTGAAAATACAAGATAACTTTCAGACTCGGATCTGAAAATAATGGAGGGTTGGCCATTCCTAATCCATGGGTTAACCACTAAGGCACCAACCCCAAAACCAGGAGACGTCCACTTGGTGTCGCCGCAACATAGTACCAAAAAGGGTGACCTCAAAACCACAGACACAAATGTCCCTCTTCAAACAGCATCCCAAAAGGAAACTGACTCAAATTTACCCATTACCAACCAAAAGGTGACGTTGGGTACATCACCACCTAAGCCTAACAAGCAGTTTGAGTCTGCCTTCGTTTGCTCCCCGAAGTAACATTGATTTACAGGCCTGCGAGCGCGGCGCGGGCGCGCTGGGCGCGCTGGGCGCGCTGGGCGCGGGCCCGCCGCCGCCGGCCTTGCGGCACGCCCGACATGTTGAATCTCGGTCCGTGAAATTCGAAGGTTCCCCAGTCCTTGTTGTACCATGGTAGGAAGCGCAACCTGGGACGTCGATTTATCAGGACTTTTGTTGGAAGATGGTCTACTTGCAATACTCATCAGTATTGAGGGAATCCACGGTACCGGCCAGGGAGTCTGCGAGGCACCCTTTTGGTGTTTGATGTTCGGGATGCGGCCTGCCTCCACCCGCTCTTCCCGCGGCCGATCCGGACCTGGCCCACAAATTCAGAGGCCCATGAAGCTTGGATGTGTACCTGTTTTGGGTTTGGGGACGCTTAAAACGAGTCAACCACCCCTCCAGAGAGGGATCCCGGGCTCAAGACACCCATAGGGTGTTGCTGGCGACATGGGATTCCAATCGCGGGCAATTCCAGAGTTGATGTAAACCCCTCAGCATGAAGGGACGAAGGTAATATAAGGCCAAATAATTACATGTATGAAGGGGGAATGAAGTCATAGTCTATTTGGGAGAGGCATGGGGGAACTCACTCAATGTCCCCCCGTTAAGAAAACAAACCCACACACACACACACACACCACACACACGTTCCCAGCTTTCCCCTTGTGTAATCACCCCACAAGGAAGCTCGACTTACTATTCGCCCCACAGAAAATCCTCGAAACCAACCTGGAAAACCAGCAGGGTGCTTTTGGCAGCCAATTCCCTTGTGGGCAAAAAGGTGAATCCAAAATGGGGGGGGGGGATTTTGCCGTCTGCTTTCCCCCAAGGGAGCCCTGTTCAACAGCAAAAAAATAAGAAAAAAAACCTTTCCGTGCTCCTTCCGCTTGCCATCAAAACTAGCTCAGCTCGTGCCATTCCAAAACCACTTTGCCTAGGCCTTTTGCCATCTTTTGGTGACCAAGTGTGTTCTTTCTCAAACCACGGTTTCTCCGCGGTCATCGTACACTATTGGGACTTTTCGCCGTCCAGTCTTCACCATGCCACATAGATGGTCCCTATGTAACCTTAACCTGCAAAATCCCAAAAGGCCACGCCTCGTGCCAGCCAGCTGCCGTCCCACCCGAAAGCCTGGAGTCTGCAGAGCCCAAGGACCGAAAACTGGAGACCTGCGTTCGCCTTTGGGCGGTGCTTGGTGAAGCTTCCTGGGCCCTTTTAGAACATTCCTGAACCCTTACGAGGTGGAAGGCGCGCAAGCGGTCAACGTTTAGAAGATTCCTGAACCCTTCCAAGTGAGAATGCGTGAAAGCTTGCAAGCGGTCAACGGATTCTGTTGGCTCCGGCATTTCCTCTAGAAACTTGCTAGTGATGCAATTGCACCACACCCCACTCCCTGAGTATCCACGCTGTTGTCATTTTTTGTCAAGACCGCCAGCATTGATACCTTGATTTAGCTTCATAATAACGCAAACCAAATGCCTTAATACTTCGAATCACTATGCATTAAGTAGATGCAATGTGCCAGAAATGCATAAAATATAGACATGATTCAAACAAATACAATAGATGCACCGAAGAGTTGTTTTAGGGAACCTCCGACACCCGGAGGCCCGTGGCGCCAGCGGCCATCTGATGAGGTTCGCAAGAATGGGTGTCAAAAAGGGATGGGTTTTTTCCTAAAACATCCCGGGCGAAAAATGGGGTTCTAAACAACGAATCCGGGTTTCTCAAAAGGGATGGGGGAAAAGAAGGGATCGACCAGAAGTGGAAGAAGGGATCGACCAGAAGTGGAAGAAATTGCTGCCCTCTTTTTTTGCAACCAGTGGACCGCTTCGGTCACAAAGGGCGTGCACCGCTTGGTCATTCTCTGTCAGGAACCAACTGCCCGTTGCCCAGCATTCTCGGTTCGCCACCAAGTTTCTCACTTCCTGAGTGGTGTGGCCAAGGCCGGAACTTGCAGCCAAACCACAAAAATGAGAATGGTATTCCCAAAAAGTGTAAAGTCGGCTTCCCTTAGGTGTTGCAGATGGCCAACAAAAGTCTGAACTGTTGGTCTACCACGAAAAAGTTATTACCAACCAGCTGTTGGGTGACCCGTTTGACATTGGGGGAAGTGCTTGGTTCTTTTTCCCGACAAAAAGGCAGGCAATCTGCGAAGAGCTCCCGCTGGGAAGATCAACGAACCGAAACCCAGAACCGCATGGAATTCCCAGGCCCTAGAAAACCCTCCACTAGACTCCCCCCCAAAAAAGATATAAGCAACTCGGCCAGACACGCCTGAAATGGAAGCCCCCAAAAACAACATATGCAAGGCCGATGAAACTCCCAACTCCAAACATCGAGAAGGGAGTGCTTTTGTGAAGAGAACCATCCTTGAAAGGCAAAATAGAATCCCCCCCCCAAAAAAAAAAAGAAGCTCCGGGTCTCCCCTTTCCCTCGTCCCATGTCCTCCTCCCGGAAAGCCGAAGAGGCCGCCTGGCCAGCGGACCAGCGGACCAGCGGACCAGGCCGCGGGCCGGCCCGCGAAGTCCGTTCAAAAAGGTCGCCGCGTCAGTGGCCCATCAGTTGATTCCCCGGCCAGAAAGAAAACAAAAAGCCAAACCACTGGCATAATCAAAGCTTCCGGGATTGAAACTTGGTCGATGGAAAGACTGAGGAGATCCGCAGCTATGGTTGGGATTGTCCCTGACTAACCTTCATCTCAGGTTTTGACTGTGGCTCACATGAGCCAAGTTCAAAAGAACTTGCCTGATCCCAGGCCAAAGAAGAACTCGCTCAGCATTGGTCCAGACCCCGACCGAGCACCCACTTTTGGACCTTTCGGCCGCGAGGGCGGAGAGAAAGAACACCCCCGCAAAAAAAGCACACACACACACACACACACGCACACAAAAAAAGAGAGAAGAGAACAACAAAAACACACGCCCCGAGGTTTCAGCGTCTCAAGTCGCTGAGACGTGCAACACGACGCTTAAGCCGAGCAAATCAGGAAGAAACAACACAAGTAGGACGAACATCGCGCAGACCGGGCGGCCTCGCGCGGCCCACCGCCGCCGGCCTGGCTTTTTGAGGTGAGCTACCCTAGCGGACCTGATTTTTCCCTGTGAATACCAACAAACAATGGTTGCAACCATGGTTTCAACCATGAAGCCATGGGGAGCTATGGGGAAATGGGGCCCCATGGAAAAACCAAAGGAGAACCACCCATCTGGAACTTGGCCCTAAAGAAGACACACCCAGAGTCCGGTCGAAATAGCATGGCCCGTATACTTCCTTTTCTGGCGATGCCAAACTCCACGTGTTGGGCTAAGTCAAAGAGCTTCCGTTTGCTAGGGGAGATGCTTTTGCGGGTTGGAGATATCGTGGCAGCCCCAGCAATTGCTTGAGGTTGGAAATACCGGTGGAACCTGCTTGGGTTGAAGAAAACTTGGCCCTCCCCTTGGCTGGGAACACTCGCTCGCTGGTTTCCCTCTGGTGTCCCGTTAAAATGTCGAAACTACCCCAAAAAGGGCCAACGTTGCCATGGAACCCCTCGCTGGGGTCATGGAGGACCACTCGGCTCTACAGTACCCTCTGGTGGGTTCCATGCTAGTGGACGTAAGGGTACCCCAAAAGGACCCTTGCTTAGGGAAACGAGCAGAAAACCTAGAGGGGTGAACAAACGCATGGTTTCTCGCTATAGTAGAAACTCGGAGCACTGGGTCACACTGAGCATTTACCCAAAAGCAAGGCTCTGAGGTAAGGGCATGGAAAAAGGTCTTCCACTTCCACCTATCTATCCATAGCTGGCTTGATTGGAGGATTTTGGGGAACCCCGAAGTAAACCAACTGGCGTCCTACAAAGGAATCCCGAGCGAGGTTCCCTGGGAACCATCAAGTTAAAGGGGTCGCCCTGTTCCCGTACTGGATCAAGAGGGGATGCTCCACCCAAAAGTGAGCCGCATTCCCTCTCAAATAAAACACCCACTCAAGATCAAGCGTTTCGTCAAGTTTGGGCTTTCATAGGGGGAGTTGCCACTCGAGTCGCAAGTAACCAGCAACTTCCTGTTTAGTCTTTGGTGTGTATTCCCCTTGGCTACTGGCATTCATGTGGATCGGATGATCGGCCCTTCCTTCTCAAAGCAAAATCGAAGACGCCACCGAGCCCACGCCTCCGGCTCCTCCTGGAAGGAAGCCGTCGCGGCCCGAGCCTCCCCTAGGCAGAAGACTGGGGAGGTGGGGGGAGGTGGGGGGAGGTGGGGGGAGGTGGGGGGGAGGTGGGGGGAGGTGGGGAGAGGTGGGGGGAGGGGGGGAGGTGGGGGAGGTGGGGGTGGTGGGGGGAGGTGGGGGAGGTGGGGGGAGGTGGGGGGAGGTGGGGGGAGGTGGGGGAGGTGGGGAGGTGGGGAGGTGGGGGGAGGTGGGGGAGGTGGGGGGAGGGGGGGAGGTGGGGGAGGTGGGGAGAGGTGGGGAGGTGGGGGAGGTGGGGGGAGGTGGGGGAGGGGTGGGGGAGGTGAGGGGAGGTGGGGGGAGGTGGGGGGAGGTGGGGAGGGGGGGAGGCAAACCTAAAGGCTGCCTCTGGCTGACAAACAAACTTCGCAACCAACACCATTATATAGCGCGCCTTTTGGATGTTCAATCCGCTAAGTAAGTAGGTCATAACCATGGCAATTTGGGCAAGTGGGGGGGTGAAACTTTTATCATGGTTATAACCTGCCTACTAAGTGGTTGAATACCAAACATCCAAGCAGGGGTTCCCTTTACATCGAAACCATTTTCAGGGTGACAATTTGGATATAGCAAATCAAGCAAACCTTCAATTTTTGTTTGGGCATACCAGGAGCCGACCCATGACATGTTGCGTGTTGCTGTCTTGTCACCGACCTCGTACGGGTGGCTTTGCGCTCCCCCAAACAAAACTGAGGTTGATTCCCGGGTGAACGCTGGGAACCATTTTGTCGAACAGATGTGAAGCAAACAAACAGAATAAGCATTTACCCGAGCCAAGGTCCAATCATGCACAACCCGCATTAGACATTGAGAGCGCAGCCCAACGAACAAAGTTGTAGACGTCTCATCTTGGAGGTATGCAACCCAAATTTGTCCCCCAAGAAGCGTGGAATGCTTTCTCCTTGAACCCGTTCTCTTGCCCTCCCCCCCCCCCCTTTCCAAGGGGGAACAGCTGCACAAATTTCCCAAGGAAAGAGTTAATTGGCTGGAACGGTTATCCATGAGAATCCTTGAAGCCACGGAAGCTTCTTGGAAATCCATCCTCAGAATCCTTGAGATTGAAGAGTTACACTTGGATGACTGAACGATAAAACGGACAATAGCTTGACAAGGAACCCCAGGCTATTGACACTTCTCCTGCCCTAGAGCAGTGGGTCCGCTCCCATCACTCCTCCCCACCCTCATCTTCCCAGAATGCTGGTTGGCAAGGAATTCCGGGAAGAACCTTGCATCTTCCTAAGTGACCAAAGTGTGGCCTTGCCACTCTGTTTTTGGGGGGAACGCTGCTGGCAACCAGCAGTCTGCAAAAATGAGGGTGGGGAGAAGTGATGCACAGAAATCGGTGCACACGCACTGATGCAGCTATCACTTTTTGTCCACCCTCTTGCTGGCTTGTTGCAGCTGCTTGGTGCTGAAGCCTTTGAGAAGGGCACAGGCAGACAGACAGCAGGCAGACAGGCAGGCAGAGGCAGACAAGCAGAGGCAGAGAGGCAGGCAGAAAGGCAGGCAGGCAGGCAGGCAGACAGACAGACAGGCAGGTAGACATGCAGAGAGGCAGGCAGGAAGCAGGCAGACAAGCACAGGCAGAAAGGCAGGCAGGCAGGCAGGCAGAAAAGGCAGGCAGGCAGACATGCGAGAGGCAGGCAGAAAGCAGGCAGGCAGGCAGGCAGGCAGGCAGGCAGGCAGGCAGGCAGGCAGGCAGACATGCAGACAGGCAGGCAGAAAGCAGGCAGGCAGGCAGGCAGGCAGACATGCAGACAGACAGGCAGACAAGCTGGCAGGCAGACAAGCAGGCAGGCAGGCAGGCAGACAGGCAGGCAGACAAGCAGGCAGGCAGGCAGGCAGGCAGACACGTCAGACAGCAAGCAGTCAGGCAGAGGCAGGCAGGCAGGCAGACAAGCAGGCAGGCAGGCAGGCAGGCAGACATGCAGACAGACAGGCAGACAAGCTGGCAGGCAGACAAGCAGGCAGGCAGGCAGGCAGACAGGCAGGCAGACAAGCAGGCAGGCAGGCAGGCAGGCAGACACGTCAGACAGCAAGCAGTCAGGCAGAGGCAGGCAGGCAGGCAGACAAGCAGGCAGGCAGGCAGGCAGGCAGACATGCAGACAGACAGGCAGACAAGCTGGCAGGCAGACAAGCAGGCAGGCAGGCAGGCAGACAGGCAGGCAGACAAGCAGGCAGGCAGGCAGGCAGGCAGACACGTCAGACAGCAAGCAGTCAGGCAGAGGCAGGCAGGCAGGCAGACAAGCAGGCAGTCAGGCAGGCAGGCAGACAGGCAGGCAGACAAGCAGGCAGGCAGGCAGGCAGACACGCAGACAGGCAGGCAGACAGACAGGCTGACAAGCAGGCAGGCAGACAGGCAGGCAGGCAGACAAGCAGGCAGGCAGGCAGGCAGGCAGACAGGCAGGCAGACAAGCAGGCAGGCGGACAGGCAGGCAGGCAGACACGCGGACAGGCAGGCAGACAGGCAGGCAGGCGGACAGGCAGGCAGACACGCGGACAGGCAGGCAGACAGGCAGGCAGACAAGCCGGCCGGCAGACAGGCAGACACAAACAAACCAACGCAAACCAAGCCAAACCAGGCCGATATCTGCACCCCCACGCCTTGCACACGGTCCCTCTCCACGGGGTCCTGCGTCGAGTAATTCTCGCCATCATGCCATTCCAGCATGCGTCTCACAAGCAGTGGATGTTCATGGGAAAACACTGGCACCCTTGTTTTGTTGGTTGGTTTTAACGGGGAACCACCTCCAAAAAAAGAAAACAAGGGTACCACTGGGTGTTTGGGGTTTGTTAACAAGCAACAACCAGGCGGTGGTTGACTTTGAGGGCAAAAATCCCACTGCCGGTGGGCGTGGGCAGGGTAGGTTGCTTTCAAACGGACTCCGAAAGGTACGGATTTCCAGGGGGCCATGAGTTTCTGTTTGCCCTTTGAAGGGGAAACGAAATGAGCTGTTTGAACAAACGCGGTTTAGCCAGCTGGTGGCTTGGGGCAAACCGTGCGAAAAATCCACCGGCGTATGAGCCCCAGGCTGACATCGCAGCGCCCCTTCCTCTGTGAGACTGGGACTTGCTGACTCCCGAGCTAGTTCTCCAGCCGTCTCCCTATTCTGCGCAGGGATCCTTGGCTTCAAAGAATGGTTCCAATCCATGCCAAAACCCAGCAACATGGGCGGGTGTGGACAGAAGGGACGAAAGTGAATCGGGGATCAACCTTTAGTTCAAAAACCTTCCAAGCTTCACAAGAAAAAAGGTCCGCCCTTTGCTTCTAGCCGACAAAGCGGAAAACGCAAATGCAAAAACACCGGCAAGTTTAACGCCTGATTTCTTACTTAAAGGTGGTATCGCTTCCAGAAAGGATTCACAAAGTGGGTAAAATGCCTGTAGTTTCCATAACCCTGGTGTGATGTCCTTCAGAAAAGAACCTGACTTTATCTGGAAGTTACCCCACATTAGCGTCATTTCTTGATAGGGGCCACAATCCAATTGCTTTTGTGACACAGATACCCTTCATCAACTTGGCCGCCTCTGCTGGGTTAACCCAGCAAGCCCCACTTAAGGGGTTTGTAACCCCATGTTTAGCCAAGAAATGGCGTAAGCGGTACTAAGTTGGACAGTCTCTCTCGAAGTTCAAAATAGGAATTCGGGCCCCCAAAGTGCTCAGTTTCCTTGCGGAGTCTTTAAAACCACAAACCAGATCCTCTCGGATTTCACCGGCCCACTTCTCCGGTTCGACAGTCCTCCGGTACGCCTTCCTGTCGAGCGAAGGGCTGTCTGGAGAATGGGAAAGCGCCGGGGCGGATGGCCGCTGTGCTTCAAAAAATGTTTCCAAAAACCGGCGGCTGCCCCCTTTGGGCGGGTTTGGATGGAAGTCAACTTGTTTCCTGCATACTCCAAAAAGGGGGCTCTTGCAGAATTGTTCTTGTTTTGGGAGTCCCAAGAAGACCTCTCCCTAGAAGCTTGCAGGGTTGAATCGGAGCAGCTCCGAAAGGAAACACCGTCGCCACATTTGGGGTGGGGGGGGGAGATACCTTTGGTAGAGTTGTTTCGGATACGAAGGCGTCCCGCTTGAAACCACGTTGATCCCCTTTGTCTTGGAATGCTGAGGGACCTCCCTGCTTCATAGGCGAGTCTTGGTCAACCGGTTGCAAAAAGCAAGACCCTACGTCCCAAAAATGATCCCAAACAACCTGTTCAAGGGTTGCTGAATTGAGACAGGCTGCCACTCTAGGGGCGACTGTTTCTGCTCAACATGGAACAGCATCCTCTGGGCAAAACGGGTACCCATGTTTCAGTCAGTCGGCGACCAGTGAAACAAGGACACAAGGGGTATGTACTTCTTCGTAACATGGGCCCAAAGTGACATCCTCCAAAAACACAGCCAGCCTCTCAATGTTGTTGTAGTTCTTTGAGAGTTATTCTTTTCGGGGCTTCCCTATATACCAGAGTCATTTTGAGACCTCAAGCTACAATCACTCGAAGGTTTACTCGCCCAGCAACCAACAAAACAGCTTGGAGGCCATACACTCCTCTCCATGGAACCTGACGTTTCGAGGTCGTGGAACCACCAAAAACCCTCTGGAACTCCATGGCAACAACGCAGGATAGAACTAGATGGCACTTGTTTAGATCAATCTTTTTTTGATGTACTCCATTTACAAGGGCCACCTATCTTATCAGAGGGAGAGATGCAGGTCTTTGCCCCAATGTCCATGCCGTTTCCGAAGGCCTCAACGACCTGCGCCACCTTGGTCCGGAGCTCCTGAACAGTCAGCCTGCCTCTCATCGGAGGCTGAAGCGCCCTGTTTGTGGGTGGATGGTTGCGAAATCCATTTCGCAGCTAAGCGACCATGAGACACCAGTGTTGGTATTTACAGGGGAATCAAAATTCCAGGGTTTCTTAGGTGGTGCAGGATTTCGTCCATCCACAGTAGGGTTCCCACTTGCCCCCTGAGAAGCAGGGGTTCACATCCTCACCAATCCAAACCACCCATTGAGGGAAACCTGAGTAAGGGCGGCATCCAGCCATGAAGGGCAGAAAGAAGGAAAAGCATAAGACAAACAATCCTCGGACATGTCTTGAATACGTCATGGCTGAACGACACCATATGACTTTCCCCCTGAAGGGAGCTGGAATTCCTTTGACTGTTGAGACCTGTGTAAATCCGTTACTCTTGGTCTTTCTTTTCTTCTCTGTGCTTTCCTTCTTCTTCTTTTTGGGGGGTGGGGGGGGTAATAAAGTTGGACTCTGCAACCCGAGGATCCAAAACTCATAATATCCACGACAAACCCGGCGGGAAACAATTGGCGGGTTGTTCAAAAGAACGATGGCCGACAAGAAATAGCTGGAACCAACCCGTAGAAGTCAGCTGTGTGCAACGCCCGAATATGAGCAGACCCAAAACGGCAAACAATAATTCACTTGTTTGTCTGTCTCCAAACAGACTCGAGGTGGTTGGTACTGCTTCGTGAAGCACTCCAGCAGTGGGTTACGCCCTAATCTGTCAACCTATCTTTAATCCTTGTCCGTGAAAATACATGCGGCACCGTAGGCCGCAAGCTATATTCCCCTTGTGTATGCTGGCGTTTAGTAGGCCAGGAGCGAGTTTCACTGGACTGGAGTACATTCCTGGGTAGCGCAAACAACGCACATCACGGGAAGAAGCTTTGGGTTTGCACACGCCGCAGGAGGTGTTCTTCTGTACTCAAAGATCGGTCTCTGACATTGGTGGGGCCGCTCGGACCAGTACATCGCCTGGATGCCTGGCATGTAACATGCTGCGCGCTTGCACCATCCTCCCCCAGCCCCAAGTGGTACTTCAAATGTTCCCACCTCATTTACAGAGGGTTGCGTCAGAGCTGAGGCGCTCGTCAACAAAAGATTAAGATGAACCCAGGCATTCTCTTGGCGGCTACCAGAATGACAGACAACCTTTTACCGAATTCTCGCCGATTGGATTGAGCCGATGAAATCAGCCAAAGGAGTAGCAGAACTTTACAATTAGGAGGCCTCTTAAATTCTTGGGAAAGGTAGCTCAAAGAACTGCCAGCTATCCGCTGAGTGCCCGAGTGCTGGCAGCTTCCAAAGCTGTAGCATTGCCACGAGACATGGTCTCACGGCATGGGGGTGTGTTGCTTCTTGCGCAGCGCCTTGCAGACTAAGCATCCTGCTCTCTTCGCAATCAGGACGAAATCTACAAGGTGCTGGCGAAAATAGTGGTACACAATTCTTTCATTCCATCTAGGCCCAGGCGCTGTGCCACGGGCAATCAGGCAACGCATCCGCTTTGCACCGCTCAGGATGGATGGCAAATCCACCGGGGATGGCCCAGGCTTGCCAAAGGAATGGGAGTGCACGGTGCCGGACGGGCTGGCCCTGCGTTGGAGTGCCAAAGCCGCACCTTGTGCTCCAGAGCACGGGGAAGCTGGAGATCTCTTCAACCTGATGTCGCTTCTCCCGTTCCCCTGGTCAAGGACCTGGAAGAAATCGCTTTGCCTCTCCAGAAAGCCCTTGAGCTTTCCCAAGCCGATTCCTCCCTGCAACCATGCCGGCAGCATGGCTAGCTCCTGCATGTCGCAAGAGCCGGTGGGACTGGATGCCAGGTGCGCCACAAAGTGGGTAACAACCTGCGCTTTCCTCTCCTCTCCTCGGTTGTGAGCCGGTGACCCTGGGAAAAAGGGAACCCTTTTTGGGGAAGACCATTCTTAGTGGGGCAGCCACCAAAAAAAAGGGGAAAAAGAATTGGTGCCAGTGAACAACTGAGTCTCTCTGCGCCAGCGACAGCGATGACATCAGGCCGTCTCGACTGGTTTTCAGCTCATCCAGACTTCTTGTTGTCTGCACTGCGTCCTTCAGTCTCACGGTCTTGCTTCGCCTCTCCACAAGGAAGATGTGCCGCCGCTCCTCCAGGAAGCTTTGCAGAGAACTCCTGTATTTCCTTGGCTTTTGCTCTGCTCCCCAGATAAAAGTGAATAAGGTTGGGTGGTTTAATGCGGAAAACCCATTACTTGGGTGTGGGTCAAAATTAAACCACCAGAAAACCGCAGATTTGAGTCCTTGGCTTCTATTTTGGGTACCCATTCTTGACCCACAGTCACTTGGCCAAAAGTGGTGTACTGGAAAACCCATTACTTGGGAAAAAGTTGAAGTCCTAACATCACAAGCAAAATGCACCCAAGTTTCTCTGCCGCTCCCTGCTTCCACCCGCTGGTGCCACCCAGCTCACTCATGAGACAGGCGCCGCCGCGGGCCCGCACATGGGCCACCAAGATCTGCTCCAGGTCATCCGCTGACATCACAAATGAAAACCAAGACGCACGGTGAGACCTTGAGAGCCGAATCTCGGGCGAAGCTGTTTTTGTGGGGCAAGTAGGACCTTGGAGATATGCGCAAGCAGCACAAGTCACAAACAAAAGTTCGGGCCGCTCCGAGGTTTGAAACACCACGCGCGTGCCGGACAGAACAATAACGGTTGCCCTTTTGCAAAAACAGAGTTCTTAAATTTCAACCATGTCTACTTCGCCGCTTCAAAGGGGATCTGCGGGCCGCGCAGAAGGCTCGCTGAATAAGTATAGCAAGTGACCCAAGATGCACCCGCTGGATTTATTCCCCCCAGATCCTCTTTCAAAAAGCGCGCCCTCGCCTTTCAATGCAGTCAGAATGCAGTAACGACCATACACGGCGCGGTGCAAAATCAACATTTGAATTTGACCTTCGGAGAAAAGTGGAGGACCAGCCGCTCAAATGTTCGTTTACCTCGGACCATGACCTGTCTGCCATGAGGGGACTCTTCATTCTGAATCGCGCCCAGGTTGGACATGAGAAACAGTCCAAGTTGGGACATGGCCGCGAGCCCTTTTCGCCTTCGATCAAATGCAGTGGGCTTCAGTTGACATGTGTCCCGTCCCCCTTGGTGGCTTTGAACATTGAACAAATCTCGGAGGTGATTTTTTGCGCGTGGAGAAGTTTATCCAACCGTAACCGGGGGGCCTAAGCCTCAGTATCCCTAAGACAAGCTCCAAAAAACCTGTCATTTTGCCTCTCAGCAAAAGGACAAACACCACGGAGAAACAACAAGCCGCCCCTTGATCTCCAAAACACAAGGCAAGCGAAAGCCCTCAAAAACCGGACCCAAAAAATGCCTTGGAGAACCCGCCCCCCCCGCCAAAAAAAAAAGACGAGAAGAACAATATTGAAAACAACGGAGCCACAAACTAACCCAAAATCCTCTAGAGGAAGGACAATCCAAACTTCCGAAAACAAAACTAAGAATCCTCCATACAAACGAAAAGCAAAGTCAAAACCCCACCAACCCGCAAACCTCTAAACCAAGCGTGAGCCAAACCGACCCTTCCAAAAAAAAGAAATAGAGCACAATCAAAACACCAACCCAAAACAAAGCTCTGAAGTTACAGAACTTCCCACAGACCCATCAAACCCACAAACTTTTGACCCGTCCCCTTCCAAAAGCTCAAAGTAGAGACCTGACCAGGAACGAGAAACCAAGCCATCCCAAGCATCGTCCATGAAACCAAAATCCCATCAAGGCAAAAAAGCAGTTCGGCATTTCAAGCAAGGCCGACCCAAGCCGTCCCACTCACAGACCTCCAGAACGAAAGCCGCGCCGGACCAGGTCAAATCCTCTTTCTAGGAAACACATTGAAACCCCGTTAAACTTTGATGATTCAATTTCCGCAAGCCAAGCCACCCCAAATGAAAACATTGAAACTACAGAAGGCACAACAACACCACCGCAAACCCTACAACCCACCAAGCCTTCGAAAACAGGTCCAACAACAAACATGTCTTATTTAGCAACATCTGGGATTCAAAAACAAATCAGGGGTCTCCAACAAAAAGTATGCCCCTTATCAGGAAAACGTTCCACAGTCCCGCAAAAAGTCGAGAAGAACGAAGGAACGGAGACCTCCAGCGCAGCTCAAACCCAAACAAGTAACAATTAAGTACCTACTTTGCGCGGTACTCCCCTCTGAACCAGCAAATTCATACCACTCCTTGTTCTCAGTTGTTCAGTGACGCTGGAAAAAAGGGAACCCTTTTTGGAGAAAAAAATGGGGCGGCCGCCCAAAAAAAAGATGGAAAAAGAAAAACGGCGCCACTGCAGAGCTGCGTGTTCAAAGAGCCGCCCGTCTTCGGCTCCTGGCACAGCGCCGCCACCCGCTCGGCGGAGGTCTCCGCATGGGACACGCGCTCCTCGCGTCTCCGCGTCTTCGCGTCTTCGCGCTTTCGCCGTGGGGGGCGAGCCGGGGGGGGGGGAGCCACAAAAACATATGAGAGGTCGAGTCAGTTTGGTCTGGAGAGCTTCCCATGAAGGGCTTGTCATTTTGGTCTGGAGGGCTTCTATCCATCTCCCGGGCTGGAGTGGTGATTCCCAGTACCCGCTGCAAGAACCAGGGTCTGTCCTTCACAATACGGGGGCCCAATCCCGCAAATGGAAGGTATATGGGTCTGTCTTTTGGTTGAGGGTGCTGTTTTTGGGCGAGGCCCCGAATGGCTCGCAGTTTTGGAGCCGACCTGGCAAATCCGCAGCTCCATCTTTTCGGGATCTCCAGAGAAACCCCAGCGCTATCCGGAGCTTCCTGAGCTGGCTTCTATGGGCGGCTTTCCTTCGGGCCTTCGAGTGGACCATTCCCGAAGCTCATTCTGCCCCCGTCGGCATAGAGAGCTTGGTTGTGACTGTTTGAGGAATCCAGTTGAGAAACTTCTGCCAGGGTAGCCTCCCCCGAACCTGCGGAGGAACCCCTCCCGAACCCGCCCCAAACCCATCGGCCGAGAGGTCCCATTCCTAGTTAAACCCAGGGGTGTCCCATTCCTAGTTAAACCACCGCTTGGTTCAGCCTACCTTGGGATGCTCAAAGGATGGAAGCGAGTGCTTGAAGGGGCAGGGAACGGTGAATAGCCATGGAACTTACAATGGCTTTGGTGGGTTGGAAACAAGGGTGGTTATTAATTTTCGGGCCTCGACAAAATACAAAATGAGTCCATATTATCATAACTTAGTGTGGTTTAAAGTTGGCCTTTGTGACCACTTGCCTCAGGTATCTCAGCTTCGCTTTGCATGGTGGTTTGGAGTGGGAGCTCTTCGCGGGTGGTTTCGCAAATTTGCCTCTCCCGAGGCCGCATCCCAGCACCAACCCAAACCACCAACCGAGGAAGCCAAAGCCAGCCAAAACATGTCTCTAGGGGTTGTTTCCCCATTCTTTTCAACCATCCTTCTTTTCGAAAACCCGCCGTTTTCCCTGGTTTCTGGAGGTTTTCTAGAAAGAAGGATCCCTGGAAAGAATGGGGGAGGAACCGAGGAATCCCATTCTATGTCAGTGACCAACCCAAAAAGGCCCCGCGAAAAGCAGCGAGCGCTTTTTCGCTCCTCTGCGGACTCGATGGCACTCTTCAGCTCCGAGGTCGCAGCCTGTGCTTCGATCGGGAAACATCATCGAGTCTTTTGGGGGATGGACGTCGTGGGATCGATCCCAAGTCGAAACCACACAAAAATGGCTCAAAGGAGGTGATTTGTTCATTCCCTGAGACAGCTCCTTTTACCCAAAGAAGCTTGGCTCGTACGAGCGAAAGGAAGGAGAGGGGCCTCTCCCATACCGTCTATTTTGAATTCCCTTCGTGGTTTGCCACGCGACATGACCAAAAAGGCCTCCACTCCCCCGCCCACTTGGCCAAGTCCAGTCCTGTGGACTCGGCAAGAGCAGAGACCAATTTGGGTGTGGCTCAAAATGAAAGAGCCAGGGCAAACCGCAGGTTTTAGTCTTTGGTTCGATCTACCAAGCTGCCATTTTGGTACAGGGCCATGGGTCAAAAGCCAAATCGTACCTCCAGTGAACATCCCAATCCCCACCAAAATAGACTAAAATGGGTGGTGAATTTACCTACCCCAAAATGGGATCCCAAAACGGTTTTGACCCATGGCCACACATTCTTGAGCCACAGCCCATTGGCACCCTGAGCTTTGGCAAAGGAGTACTCCGCTGAGGCGGCAGGCGCTAGGCCAACATCGAGAAAGACTTTTTTTGCGGTACCCCTGGCCCATACCCCCAAAGCAAGTCCTGCAAAAACGCTCAAAACCCAGGGGGTCCGTTTAAACTTTTAGTTTGTAACCGGCCACGCATGAAGACAACCAATGGAAAGAAATACAACGTTCGAAAGTGTGGATTTGAACCAAGCAGAGTTTTGCGTCAGAGTCTAACTTTGAATTGTGAACCCCTTGATGGACATCATTCTGAGGGGTTGGTCCGACCATTTCTGCCGAGTTCCCAGCAGCCGTTATGAGACGATATGCAGCTTTTATGACGTGCATACACCCCCGCAACAGGAACATACCTCTTATGCAAAAGGTACCCTGAACATGCCTCCCAAAAATAAGACCTGAACATGTCCTTGAACAAAAAGAAAAAACCTTACCCACTGAAACGAAGCCTAACTAGGGGCTCCTGGCAGACCGTTGTCCTCTAAAGAGAACCTTCTGATGGGATTCCATTGCTAGCACGGGACGAGATAGTGCGAAAGTGATGTGACAGGAACTCAAACACCTGGAGGCTTGTACAACTTCCCGGGCCAGGGCAAGATTCAAAGCAGGAACCATCCACCCTCATTACCAGCGCAAATGACTGGCCAGCACTGATGATGAACTCGACCAACAAAGAGTTTCAAGCTTGCCATCAGGCCACTTTATGCTTCACCTGCAAGCCTGCAAGCAAGCAAGGCTCCACTTAGGCCCCCCCAAACATAGAGAAGAGGTCACATCCCCAACGCCCCCTCAGCCTTCGGGAGCCTATCTATCCCCAAAGCTTTCGGCGGTCAGGTAAAAGCAACAACAAACCATAAAAGCTCATTCGAACCATAGGTGGCCTGTTGGCAAAATAGATGGCCCTGGTAAATGGGATAAAACCCCTCTAAACCAGTGGAACCCGTCTATTTTTAGCCGAACTCACCGATGAAAAGGACACCTATGATTCGAACCCAGCGCCTCCTGGTGCGCAAGTCTGGTCAACAGCTGACCCACCGCCTGCAAAAAGCTGCTGCCGCAACTCAACCGGGCAACCGGTCGAACAAAAACGAAACGAGGCACCGTTTCGTCGAGGACGAGGCAGAAGGAGGCGCGGGCCCCATTGGGCTGTGGGCCAAAACCGTTTTGGGATCCCATTTTGGAAATGGTAGGTGAATTCACCACCCATTTTAGAACCAATTTTAGTGGTTGGATTGGGATGTTCACTGGGGGGGGTACGATTCGGATTTTGACCCATGGCCATTCGTAGGACTCCCGACTTGCGCAAGTCTGGTTGCGGATGTAGCTTTTGCGCAATTCTTGTCTCCTCACCAACCAGTAAAGCATGAGCATTGCACCCCATTTCATGAGCATAGCACTACTGGGGAAAGACCAAGCATCCCTATCCAAATTAAGCAAGGGCCGCACGGACTGATACGCGACACCTCTCTTGTGAAGACGACCCCCTGCGCTCTGAGCAAAAACTGGGTCACCAAACACGCAACAAAACCAAGAAAGAAGATACTCGACTCTGATCCTCTTCGAACAAAGAGAATGCTCGGCTGCCAAGGCTCCATTGGAGTTCGCTTTCGCTTCCCGGACTCCGGGAGAAAAAAACGAAAAAACCGCCTCCGGCGAGCTTCCTGAGGCGGACAGACCTGGCAAGGAAGGCGCTCAGCAACCTGGATACAGGTTTTTGTTCTGTATTTAGGTGAGTTGTTACTTGTGTGTGTAGCTTAGTGACGCAGGTTGTTTAGGTTAGTGAAGAAGGGTGCTCGAGGTTGGTGAAGAGGGTTGCTTTAGCTTGGCGATGCGAAGGGATGCTAAACAAAAATGCAACACCCGTCAAACTATCACACAACCATGGTACCTCATCTTTCCCCCAGGTTCCTCCTGTCCACGAAGAGGCATCTGGGAATCTATTTGGAAGGTCCCGTCCTCTACAACCCAAAAAAACAACTAATACACCCAGTGCAGCTGAGAGTTCCATATCAAAATGTCCGGCAAGCGCGAGTATGGGCCAGACTGGGTAATTCAAGTACCGAACCCTTTGTCTCGTGAGAACTTACCCTGGGGTTTGGGCTTCTGCGGAGTGCAACCTTTCTGGGGTGTTCACTGCGCTGGCGCGGATGAATTTCTCCCGAAAGCCCAACTAGGTCCTCCAGTAGAGAGAGGATAGAATAAGGGTACCCTTTTTCCTGTAGTCCATGTTAGTGGGGGAACCCTCCCAACCAAAAAGTGAGAAAGGCCACGATCCTGGGGGACCTAGCCAAAGCATCTCCGCCTCTTTCGCAGGCCGCCAGCAGCAGCTGCTTCACCTCCCCGCGAGCTTAAAACTTGTCGAGGAGCTTTGAACCCAGTCACGCGGATGGCTCACCACCTGTGTGAGAAAGAGAATAGCTATTCTTTCCAGGGATCCTTCTTTCTAGAAAAGCACCAAAAAACTTAGGGAAAGTGCTGGTTTTGAAAAGAACGATGGCTGAAAAGAATGGAAACGGAAGCAACCCCTAGATTTGTCGGAGAAACAGCAAGACACGAGGATGTCATTCTCAGATAAGCTCAACTTGGGAAGAAAAGTCTGAGAAAGCAACTCGCGCTCCGTCCCAGAGATCTTACAGCAGAAATGTTGACCAAATGCCAAATAAAGAAAACACAACAAAAGCATGGTCTTGGCTTGGTTCAAATATCGCCGCTGAGTTGTTTGCCCATACCCATATCCGCTGTACCATCGCTGTTAGGATCAGACATACCCGGGTTGACTAGTACGGAGTGGCATTTTTCGAGGGGCTCCGGATCACGCTTGGAGGTGCGCCTTCTCAGGCTCCATGAGGTGCTTCAATCCGACATGTTCCAAAATGGCTGGAAGCCTGGGGGTCCGAAAAGTGGCCACCACTGGCCGGTAAGACAAGAAGTAACTTCTTTGAAAGATTGGTTTTTGAACAAGTGGCCATGGGTCAACACCCTTTACCCCCAGTGAACATCCCAATCCCCACTAAAATTGGTTCTAAAATGGGTGGCGCACCTATCCCAAAATGGTACCATTGGTTTTGAACCATGGCCAAGTCAGTGTATGGACCGGAATCTAAAGGTTGCATCTTTCGTTTTGAACCAACCGCTCGAAGGGCGGGCGGTTGCAGTTGCCCCCCGGCTTTTCGTTTTCAAGCGGCTGGCCATGTCACTGAGAAATTCGAATTTGGGTTCTCCACTTTCCCGACAACCTACCTCTGCGAACAAAAAGCTATTTTCGCAATTCCATCCCGGATCGTTTGCGGAGGTATCAGAATCCTGCGCGCAAGACCGAGAGTGGCATGGGGGACCTCTTCTAGTGAGCTGGAAAACAAGCCGTGTACATTTGCTTGTTGGCCCCAAAAACATATCCCCCAAATCCGGCCCGCATTTCATGAACCGTGCAAGCTAAAAGAATATCAAAAAAGATCCCAAAAACCACTTCCCGGAACAAAAAAAACAACGGGAAAATGGGAGCCATACCCTTTAGTAGGATGGACAGATAGTGGTTGCGTTGCCTTCTCTGAACTTGCGGCTGAACTGCAGGGAAATCAGCACACGCCTGTAAAGTGCGGATGGTGCCCATCTTGCTCCCGCCCAAGGAAAAGCGGCAAAGAAAACCTTTGGACTAATGCCAACAAAATCAACTTGGCCAGGCTTCCACTGCAAACTTCCTCAGTTCGGTACTTGAAGGCCTGAAAAGAGAACCCAACCAGTCAAAGGGCCCTTCAGATTTCCTTCAAAGTGCCGATTTCCTCTAAAATGCCGTAAAAAAAGGGTTCATGTAACTTGCCTAAATCATGACCCGCATACGAAGTTTTGATCGGAGTTTTGATCATGGCACAGGGGAACCCTCCCCATTTTGGGTACAAGGGCGGAGGGGTGGCAAACTCCGGCTCGTATCTCGACGTTCACGGCCTCTCGGCTGTCTCCCGCGCCTCGCTGAGGCCGCCGGCCGCCGCGGCCACGCCCCGCTGCAGCGCGCCGAGGGTGCCCTGGCGGTGCCACGCTTCGAGCGCGGCCAGGAACCAGGCAGGGCATCCTGAACCCCCATTGTTTCGGCGGTGCTTGGAACCCAATGCAATCCCTGACCTGGAATTTGGGAATACATCCCCCCAAAGAGTGGTGTACTTTTTTCTTGCTCATATTTACGAACCAAAACGGCCCCTTTTCATATTGGTCACAAGGAGTGCCATACCTGGGCTGTCCGTTTTCAGATCCCCTGCTAAAAGTGACTGACCTTTAGTATATAGGTTCAATGGAAACCCAGACGCGAAGGAACCGAATGGCTGGGAACCAGCAAGATAGCTGGACGGATTCGGATCCGGATATGGGCACTGGGTGAAGTTTCAAGCGCAGGCTGTTGAGGACGCTAGTGGGCTGGACACATTTGAATGTAAGCGTTCCAATCGCTCCATGTGCTTTGTCTTGTTCGAACGCAAAGAAAAATGGTGCCAAGAACTCTTCTATGACCCTCGCTAGATAGACCACAGGGAACCTGAAAATGGCAAGATGATCTGGGCAAAAGTAGCAGCTCAAATTGGAACGACCTTCATTGGTGCGCCCGTCTTCCCTGAGGAGCTTATTCCGATTTGCCCAGAATTATCATACTTCACGCCATCCCCACGTTTTGTCCGATAAAAATAAATGACCCCGGATAGCAAGAAAGACACATGCCAACGATTGCACACCAGCACCTCTCACAGCAACCCCCGAAGAGCGCCCCAAAGAATCGATCTCGCAGAAAGGCGCCCGCACCGTCAGGGGGCACCTCAAACAACGCCCCAAACAGCATCCTAAAACACCTGCCACAAGAATCCCCAAACTGCGTGCCCCCTGGCACCCTGCCATCAATCTCACAAAAACGTGCCCGCAACGTCACCCAGGAACAGCAGCCCCAAACAGCCCTCGCAAAGAAAACAGCACCTGCGCCACCCAGCCGTCAATCTCGCAAATCACGTTCCCCTCTTTATTAGAAGTTCCCACCCCTATAGCTTTCAGCTATCTGGGAAAATATATTTATCTAAAAAAACAAACGGAAAAAACCACAGAAAGGTCGGCAACCAAAAAAAACACCCAGGGGTGGGTTCCCGGGTCGACACCTTCCGGCAAGGCGCCTCGAAGTCGCCTGGCCCCTGGCACGAACTCGGGCTTGAATTGACCCGCCTCTTGGGGCAAAAGGGGAAAGAAGCGTCAAAAAAAAGAAGTCAAAAAGAAGTTGAAAACCACGCGAAGAAGTGGCTTAAATGGCTATGAATCTTAGTAAGGGAGCCTTTGGTGGACATTGTTTAGGTGAGGATTCATGTCCACCCATCACTTTTGAGGTGGTTCCCTATCAAAATTCATGGCCAAATGGAGTCGGACGTCGGAAAGGGGGGGGCTCAAAAAAAAAATAAAAAAAATAAAAAAGGGAAAAACAAACGACAACTCCCCCTTGAAGAGAGTTGTAAAATGAAACGACCAAAACATGCAAACGGGGATCAAAAGTTTCGGGCCAAGCAAAACCAAAAACAAATGCTCCGGCTCAGAGCGCCAAACAGACAGATCCCTCAGGCGCGCCTCGCGATCCCCTGGGGCGCGGTTGCAGGGGACGGAACCAGATATGTGGAGTTTCCATGACCCCTTAAAAATGGGGCAATGACCCCATTACTTTGGGTATTGACCCCATGATTTTGGGTATTGACCCCATGATTGTGGGTAATGACCCCAGTATTTTGGGCAATGACCAACCATGTTTTAAGGGTCATGGAGACTCCAGGCACTTCTGGGATCAAGAATTTCGGATTCTCACAAACTGGCAAGAAGTCATCCCACCTACGGCACCTTCATGGGTGAGCTCGCGCCCCTTACTCGCAGGTGAAACCATGTGGAAACCACAATTGATTCATAGTCAAGACCCGGTAGTAGAATGGTCTACCCAGAACCATGCGAAGCTATTTATGGCTGGGATTGTCCCAGCCATCACCTTCATCTACCCGGGTTTGATTGTGGCTCAATTGAAAACAGAAGAGGGGCAAATGGAGCATGGAGCCTTGAGAATCAAGAAAGCCCCTCCTCTTTCTTGCAAAACCAACAAGAGGAAATCCAAAGTCGCATTCAGCAAACGGAATGTTTCAGGCTTGGGCTACACCAGAACCAACTTTGACCAAGGAAAACCGTTTGCCCTCGGCTCCCAAACAGCCTCCAATGATGCAAGGCTCTGGCGGCCTAACAGGACTGCTCCCACCCTGACTAACTTGGCTTCTAGCTTGGTCAGTGAAGAGAAACCAGAAGGAGCCTCATCAGTTCTCTACACCTTGGGGACAATTGGATCGGGTCCTTCTCGCAGCAATCAGCCCTGCTTTTTCGGCGCGACCTGGGGAGGGGGGATGTTTTGGGGGGGCCTTCTTGGAACTAACTTCAGAGAGCACTTTCAAATCCCCCCATTTTGACATCTACCCCATCTGAGTGAATCACAACTCTCAAGCCCATAATTGGCATAAATGGCCCTGCGAGTTCTTTTGGACCGTTTTTGGCGACCTTGGACAGGTGAAAAGTCGCCCGCAGAAAGGCGTCGTCCGTTTTCATGGCTTCTAACCCCGGACGTGACCTGGCCATGCGGCCCAGAACGGGCCAACCAGTGTCCTCTTGCGCCTCTTTCCATTTGGCTCGCAAACGAAGTCCCAAACAGGGGCCCAGGCTTCCGTTTTTTCTTCTGGGTAGCCTCCAAAAAGGACACGCCAATTCTTGTCAGGATACTAAAACCTTGTTGGGGCTGCGTTTTGTTGAGGGTGCCAGTTTGGGGATGGGGTTAGGTTTAAATGCGGGTGACCCTATTTTGCCACATACCCAAATGCAACCCAGCAAAGGCGATAGTCACGCGATTTTGTTAAGCCACAGTTGAAACGGCAGTCATTGGTGCTTCGGGCGGCTTAGGTTTTCCCTCCCACTAACATGAAAGGCCCTCCAAGAGGAAAGGTGACCAACCTTTGCTTCCATGACTTTAAAAGGACACCAAAGGCAGCCACCCGTTTTCATAGAATACTAATCAACAACTAACAAAGAAGAAGAAGAAGAAAAAGAAGAAGAAAAAGGCTCCATGTCGACGTGATGCAACCCATCTGCTTGTTGACTCTGAGCACACCATGAAAATTCAACTCAACATCTGGCTGTGGGTCAAAACCAATGGTACCATTTTGGGGTAGGTGCACCACCCATTTTAGTCTATTTCAGTGGGGATTGGGATGTTCACTGGGGGTACGGGGTTTTGACCCATGGCCATCTAAGACCAAGGCGTTTAGACGGGAAGCCGCCTCACTCTGGGAGCCCCTTGCTCGCGCTCCGGGCCTCGATCTGCGACCTGCAACATGGCGATCAAAAAAGGAGAAAACATGAGCCGTGGGTTTTGTTGGAGGCTCGGGAGCTTTTCTAAGGTTTGCTCAAGTGGAGGTCAAATTCTAGGGGGCGGATGTAAACAAGAAATCCACGCGCACCAGCTGGGATTGGTGTTTATTCATAGGCTAGGGCTTCAAGCATTCATGCATCCCAAGTGGTGGGGTCTGTGCACGAGCGAGGAAGGGAGGATGCTTCTCCTCAAAAACGACGGCGAGTATGCGGAGCTTCACCTGAATGTTCAGCGGGGTAGAGCAGCATGTGGATCGCTCAAGATCGGAAAAGACGAGCTTGCCAAAACGTCTCGCTGCGAACGAGAATCGTAAGCTTGGCCCGAGCTGCCAAGCTAATCCTAACTCATTTGGGGAGAGCAGAACACATAGCACATGTTGTTCTCAGACCACAAGATTGCTGCCCGAACTGCCAATTTAAGCGGCTTCGCCTTCGGTTGGCTTGCTCAAAGCGGGATCCTCGGCTTTGCACCACAGGGGCCATGGGTTGCAAATAGTCATGGGCCCCTCTGGAGAATCAGTACAGGTCCCATGGCCTGGCTGAGTGTCGAGTGCAATGAGGACATGGGAAAATTAGTAAGCCCCTGCTCCATGATCCCAAATGGACCATTGCTGGGGGCAGGGGACATTTCGGTGTGCCCTGAAATGTCCCCGGAACCCCTACAACGTTTTCGAGCTGGGACAACAGAGCGAAATCAGGAAGTAGGACCCCGGACAGCGTAGGCCAAGGATCGTCGCCATCAAAGTGGCATCCTCAAAAGTATGCGCTACATGGTTGCTCTTCAGGGGAAACACCCTTAAAAGGCCATTTTAAGGACCCCAAAGATGCGCTCATGGCTAAAATTCACAAACCGGATTTGCCATCCACAGCTACCGCGGCTTCCAGCGGCCCAGCATCCAAGGGCGACCTTCCCTCCAGCTGAAGGAAGGGAAACCAGATTCCTCTTCCAGAGCCCTTGTCTCAGCTTCCGAGTGCCATCCCAAAGCGGCCGCGCTTTCGATCGGCGTAGCCTATTTTTACGTCAGCTTATTCTATTTGTTTCTTACATGACTTACTTATGTTGTATTTGATTCATAAAAACGAGGAAGAAAAACAGTTCCCCTTACCCAAGTGGCCAAGCTTGAGGGCGGGCTCTTCTCTTCTCCCCCCTCCGCCTGTCCCACGTCTTGCAGCCGCTTTGTCGTCGCGTCCGTCCCGCCAATCGCCAGAGCGCCGCGCCTGAGCTCCGCGAAGGCGTCAGAGCACCACGCCGTGAGCTCCGCCCGCAGCTTCTGCACGGCCTCGAGTGTCATGGGCCAGGGGCAGCGGCCGCTCGGACGAGCAGACAAACGAAAGGCTGCGCCCGGGGGGGGCTGTGTTTCTCTCAACCACGGCGAAAAAAACCACGGAAAACAAGACAAAAACAAAAAGGGTACCCAAGAAAAAGGTGCACAGGAGATTCGCCGTATGATTTTCACCTTTCGCCTTTGTGGGCCACCTAAAATGTTGGCCGAAGGAAGCCAAGAGGGTTCTCACCGTCGACTCATGTCCACTGAGAGACACATCAGCACGAGATCAAGCGCCAAGCAGAGGGAGGTGGCCATGGTCTGCACCCAAGAAATGCCACTGCACTCGTCAACCGAGTGCGGTCAGTTTTCCTCATAAGTGTGGGTCAAAATAAGGAGACCCACAGAATGGGCTCCTTCCGTTTCTCTTTGGTGTCCAATTATCAATTTGGAAAAGCAAGCAAAGAACTTCCTCAAAAGAAGACGTTGCAAGTTTCGAACAAGAAAAACACCCCAACTTCATGACCATGGCCTGTGCGCCGGCTTCCTCGATCGTCTGTTGTGAATACATGCTTCTGCGATGACGAGGTGTGCCGTTCTCAACTTTAAAGTTGAGCCAGGAGAAGAAGCCCCAGCTGATTGATAGGGATGTGTCATTTTAGCAGGAATCCTTCGATGTTTGGGAAGCACTGCTCAAGAGAATTATCTTCGCATCACAGAAAAAAATCCGAAGCCTCCTTCGCAACAGCCATGAAAGGATCACCTTGAAAGGGACGTTTCCCCATGAACAACAGGAAACCCATGCTTGCTGCTGTGCCCAATCCCGCATCCTCTCAAATCGGACCAAACCGAACAAAGTTCAGAGCCTCCATCCAAGCGTGGATCCTTGGACCAAGAGAGCCGCATCATTAGCACCCTACTTGACCTCTCTTTGGTTTGTGTGGTCATAAACCCAGCAAACTGCAGAGATTTACAGGCCCATTGAAGTCTTCTCCAGCTCCTTTCCAGGGTAACATTGGTATCGATCTCTTCCGCCTGGGGCGACGATCACAGGATAGCCACCAACCAACTCGCGGTTTTCGGAGAAATGCCAAAGCAACGTGCAAAACAAAGTTTTAGGTGTGGTGAATCGAAAAGGCGCCTGGTAAGGGAAGCCAAAAGGACACCAGCCATTTTGTGAGACTCCCTGTTTTTGAGAAACCCCCATGGAGGACCAAAATTTGGTTTCTTTTGGGGTCTGACCCTGCGCCCCCCCTCCCGCACCTGGTCGCAGAATCTTTGCATCTGCGCCGTTTCGCCTTGCAGACACACCGCACAACCGGCCCAAAAGGTGAAGGCAGCCATTGGTTTTTGGTTGAGGCAACGACTTTCAGTGAAGTGACAAGGGAGAATGGCTGCCACCAACGTCAGGGCTCAAAAAGAAATCCTAGCACATTCCTCCATCAATGCAATCCTCTCCGCCAACCTGGACAGCCCACTGGTTCCATGTCTTGTACCATGGATGCTTCCTTCTGGTTACCCTTTCGTGGCGCTTGCGCCAAAGGAAGCACTGGGCAAGGGAATAGACTCAGGCAAGCTGAGTGCCCTGCCATGTCAAACCCAATTCACCCTGCGAGTTCCATAGCCAAGGACTGCCAAAATAATGGTCTTCGGCTTTCCTTTTGCCTTCCATTGAAACCAGCCGAGGGTGTCGCCAACTTCAAGAACAGGCCCCTCAGCTTTTGCCCCAACCAAAACCTTCAGGCTTAACCACATCTTGCCTCGGAGTGCTCGCTCCACCCGCTCCCCCAGCAGGGCGATGCGCTGCTCCTCTCAAAACGGGTATGTGCCCAAAGTGGGGGGGCCATGCAAGGCCCATGAACAAGCAATGTGTCCTTTTGATTGGTGTACCTCCAAGCCCATCCCAACAAGGGTACCTACCCTCCAAAAAGCACACACGATGATCTCACTGGCAATCATTCGCAGCAATAGCGTCTGGCGCGTTTGTGCTACCGCCACTTCAAGCCTGCAAAGCTGAACAAGCTTCGCCGCTGTCGAAATGACCTTCTTTTGGGCCATTTTCGGCAAAGACACAAAGACAATAGCGAGAGCTGCTCATGTAACCCGTTGCGCCTCACTGAAACCCGTGACTTTGGGTTTGACCAAACCGGGGCGTAGAACCCTCTATGTTTTGCGCCGACGGTACTTTTCGGCACTGCTTGCCCCACAATCAGGTAACTGATTCAAATGGGTGGTTTAGGGTTTTAGGGCTTTGAGATTCGAACCCCTGGTTGTTGACAAAACCAAATGCTAAGGTGCCTTGAAACCCTCAATCAAAGCCACCAAACTGGAGGATAATGAAACGAGGCATCCGATTCCTCCGGCGAATCTTCGCCAGGTCGCCCGCCCAGAGTGGCCACACTGCAGCCCCAAGAAGCTCAAAAGCTGACAACCACCCGCTTTGCGGCTCACTGCAAGTGGTTGCAGAACTAGCGAGGATCGAACCACTGAGAAATTGAAGCTGCGAATCTAGCCCAAGGCAGCCCCCACTAGAAATGGTTGGTCTGAGATCAAACAACTTTGAGACAGGAACCAAAACATGCAAAGCTCTCCCTTTTGCAGCGCCTCTTCAAACTAGTTGCTGGACCTTAGATGGATGAACCCACCGCATGGAAGCGGCCATTTTAAAGGCTGGTCTGATGGCAAAAAAGCAGCGATGTCAAAGAGGGGTTCTCCCGTCAATTTCTCAAACCTTTGAACCTTTGGGAGACTTCTCTGAATCGTTGGATCCTGCCCAAATAGACGAAACAAACACATCAAACAAGTTAAACAATCAACATACCACTCAGCTCCCCCCGCCAAAAAAAGACAAAAAACACGTTTCGAAAATGTCCCCCCCCCCCCCCCAAAAAAAAAAAAGGAAGAAAAGAAGAAGACAAAAAGAAAAGGAAAACCTCTCGAAAAAGGCCCACGCTTCATTTAAAAAAAGTATATTAATTAAAATAACTATTTGAAAAAAGAATTAAAGGAAAAAACAAGAAGAATAAAAAAACGGGTGGCTGTGGAGAAATCTCCCCGTCCTGGGCCTCCACCTTGGACCGCACCACGCCGAGCCGCACCTCGTGCTCCTCCACCCGGGCGCTGCAGTCCTGCGGAAATTTTGGGGGAGCGGCTTCCCCGGCGGGGGGTCTGGGGGGGGAGGGGTGAGGTGGGGTGGAGGGAGGGGTGGAGGGAGGGGTGGAGGGAGGGGTGGAGGGAGGGGTGGAGGGAGGGCTGGAGGGAGGGGTGGAGGGAGGGGTGGAGGGAGGGGTGGAGGGAGGGGTGGAGGGAGGGGAGAGGGGGGGGGGGTAGGCCTTACACCCTCCAATCATGGCTGACACGAAGGCGCTGAATTTCTGAAATAGAGGGTCTGGAGAGTGGCGTGGGGCGGGGGTGGAAGCCGTTTCGCAAGGTTTAAACCTCAAGCCACCACGCGGAATGTTCCACTGTCGGTATCCTGTCACACTTTCGGTCTGGGTGTGCCTTCAACAAAGGGAACCCCCCCAGATGGGGCGGTTGCCTCTAAGCAACGGATACCCTCCAAAAGGACGGATACCCTCCAAAAGATTTGCCCATTAAATACTACCTCCATGGACCATCAAATGCATCTCCCCAACCTCTTCTGTTCCCTGGCTGTTTCAGATTGGAAGCTGCACCTGGCAACCAGAAACCAGCTTTCCCTTTCAAAGACTTGAATTTCGTTCTTATACCCAACCAGAAGAACTTGAAAGGCAACCTGTCACTGAAGCCAAGAATATGACCGTTGCTCACAGAAGAGGTTCCTAAAACGTGAAATGCGGCAATACTGTCCCTTCGCAAATGGGCTCTTCTACGTCTCGCGTCTCGGGTGAGAAGGATCCCTGGAAAACTTGGTGAAAGAGTGACCTCTCGAAAACACCCAAGCCTCACCAACATGTCCAAAGGAGGCAAGCCCAGATTCACAAAGGAAACTCACAAGTCAAAGAAGCAACACATAACCGGACTTCGCCTCAAAACCGAAAGCGAAAACTGGATGGATAAGGAGGGGTGTCCCCTTCAATTTGCCCTCTACAAGAACCAGGATTTCAAATCCAAGCCACCACTCCAAACCACCAACCAAGAGACTGTGACAGAGTTGTTCACCCGAAATATACATTTATATATATATGCTAGCCCCCTCTTGAAATACTCAGGTTTTTGACCAGAACTGAGGTTTTTTGGCCAGACAGGGGGTGACGAATTCCTTGCGACTCTGAAATGAACTGACTGGACGCTCAACGCCACGCAAATTCCAACCAAGCAGAACTTAAGCTCAACGCTGAAGGAGTTGTTGTGACCGTCACATTGGCGTGCGCGCGTGCACTTAAAGTCACATTGGAGTATGCAAAGCTCACTTTGGCAGCTCCAGCTCAAAAAACACAACTGTCCAGTACAAGAGTAGTGCGCAAAGTATGTTTTGGCAGCCTCAACGCGCCAGTAGCAGCTCTACTATTGTGTGTTTCTTATTTTTGTTTGGCAGCGAAATTCAGCAAATCATCAACTTGGGGAAAAGGAACTCATTCCTACTTCATGTCCTTGCGCAATTGCATTTTCATGTTAACTCGAGTGTTGTGCAGAATTACATGTACATGCTAGTTCAGTCTGATTGAAACATATGTTGCAAAGCAACTATCCCATGTGTGTGTGTGTTGCTAGTCTAACTTGGTTCAATCATCGCCAATAACAAGTATTGAAATTCAAGCAAGGGAAGGATATCCAGTTTAAAACGCTTTCGAGTTCAAGCCAAATTCAAGCTTACTCGTTTGGAGTTTCTTGTGCATTTCAAGAATAAACTGGCGAAGATGGCTATTGTCCTTATCGAACTCCATGTGGTTGAGCCAGCAAGAACTGAGCCAAGCCAATGCCTGGAACGTGCTTTCAATCATAGATCTTATTCTTGGCATAAATGCTGTAGAACGCATTTGCTCAGATCGCGTTGCCCTGGATCGAAGATCGAGTATACAAGATTCCACAAACATATGTTTAGAACATCCTCAATCCTGGTCCCCTAAAAACTTGACAGTTTGTGCTAGACTCATTAAGGTTTTGCCCCCTGCATTGAAGATTGAAGCTCTACTATATTTTCTTTTGAGAATCTTCCATCCTGGCCAGCCCTCAAGTCCACAAAAAACCTGCAAAGATGTCAACAACATTTTTTCTTCCTGGCCAAATGCAGGCAGTGCAAGTGCACATCCACAATTTGACTCTGACAAGGTGCGCTCCCGGTTTGGCAGCGAAATTCAGCAAATCATCAACTTGGGGAAAAGGAACTCATTCCTACTTCATGTCCTTGCGCAATTGCATTTTCATGTTAGCTCGAGTGTTGTGCAAAATTCCATGTACATGCTAGTTCAGTCTGATTGAAACATATGTTGCAAAGCAACTATCCCATGTGTGTGTGAGTTGCTTGTCTAACTTGGTTCAATCATCGCCAATAACAAGTATTGAAATTCAAGCAAGGGAAGGATATCCAGTTTAAAACGCTTTCGAGTTCAAACCAAACTCAAGTTTACTCGTTTGGAGTGTCTTGTGCATTTCAAAAATCAACTGGAGAAGATGGCTATTGTCCTTATCGAACTCCATGTGGTTTGAACCAAGCAAGAACTGAGCCAAGCCAATGCCTGGAACGTGCTTTCAATCATAGATCTTATTCTTGGCATAAATGCTGTAGAACGCATTTGCTCAGATCGCGTTGCCCTGGATCGAAGATCGAGTATACAATATTCCACAAACATATGTTTAGAACATCCTCAATCCTGGTCCCCTAAAAGCTTGACAGTTTGTGCTAGACTCATTAAGGTTTTGCCCCCTGCATTGAAGATTGAAGATCTGCTATATTTTGTGTTGAGAATCTTCCATCCTGGCCAGCCCTCAAGTCCACAAAAAAACGTGCAAAGATGTCAACAACATTTTTTCTTCCTGGCCAAATGCAGGCAGTGCAAGTGCACATCCACAATTTGATTGTGACAAGGTGCACTCCCGGTCTGCCTTTTAGAATCTTCAAATCCGCACTTAGGGCAATCCAGGATCTGAAGATTGAAGATTCTCTGACAACTCTTTCTGAAATTATCCAAATATGTACTTAGGGCAATCCAGGATGTGCTAGCACGTGCTAGCACATCCTCGATTGAAGATTGAAGATTGAAGATTCTCAGGCCACTTGTTCTGGAAATCTTCAATCTATCCTTAGGACAAACTGATATGTGCTAGCACGTGCTAGCACATCCTGGATTGAAGATTGAAGATTGAAGAATCCCAGAGAGAGTTGTCAGAGAATCTTCAATCTTTAATCTTCAATCCAGGATGTGCTAGCACATGCTAACACATATCAGTTTGTCCTAAGGATAGATTGAAGATTTCCAGAACAAGTGGTCTCAGAATCTTCAATCTTCAATCTTCAATCCAGGATGTGCTAGCACGTGCTAGCACATCCTGGATTGACCTAAGTACCGATGCTAGAATTTAAGTCTAAAACGGAGTGCATTCTTGGAGCCTCATTTTTAGAACCTGGAACGTGTGTTTTGCATGCATTTTTACAGCCAAAATGTCAATTTCTGGCCAAAAACCTGAGTATTCCAGGGGGGGTACCATATATATATATATATATATATGTTTAAAAATGAGGGGGAAAAAACGAAAGAAAACAAAACGGATCCTGGCCGTCGCCAGCCAGTTGCTCCAGCTTGATCTGCTGCTCCTGGCTTTCCGCGACCGGCTGGAGCACTGGAGCACTGGAGCTCCAAGCGCCGAAGCGCTGATTTGTCCCGTTTGGTTTAGAAAAGTGCCGTTTTTGATTTTTTTTGCAGGGTATGATGTCGACCCTCTAAAAAAGGAGGTATTTGCCTTGGAGACCCAGGTGTTCCAAAAAATACCCTGAAAACAGTGGGTACAGCTCTCCAGTTGCTGGCTTTCCGGAAAAAAGAAACTGAACTGAACCGGTCCTGGTTCAGTCTTGAGGTGCTGTTTCTGGTCAAAGCACCCCTCAATGTTGAGGTTTCAGCTCTTCAAACAATGGCTGAGAAGTTGGTTTGCCGTGTGCCAGCAACCCAAGCTTATCTTTGGGCCTTGAAACCCCGGGTCAAGGGCGAATACGCCTTATTTCGTCGAAATAGGGCCAATTGGTTTAGGATCCTGGTTGGATCAAACTGATATTGCCATATCTTGGCTCCAACCTAGCAAACCGAGAGAAACCCCCCAGCCCCACGCAAGCATCTATCAAGCACAAGTTCACCCACATCTCTCTATCTAGCTTCCTGTTTGCGGAGGAGGGCTTGGTTGCTCATCGATGTCTCATGGAAGTGTTTCACTGAGGCCATTCTATCCCGGGTGGCGCGATCCACTCCTGCATCTGCGGCATACGTGCGAATTTGACGGGGATTTCTCGGTTTTGGAGATGCGAGTCTTTCAGTCCATATGCGCAAAAATGGAAGCCAGGTCACGGATGGATCTGAAAACAATCTTCTGAGGTGAGCCCACAGGATGTGTGAGATCACACCCTGCAGTGTAGGCCTGCAAGCGGTATCCGGGATTGTGCAATCATGTCTGCGAGGACCGTGATAGTGGCCATGGGAGGTAGCGAGCCGATTGTTGGCGATGGATTTGGAAGGGACAACTCCTCTCAGGGTCCACTGGAGGTCTAGGGGGATGAAAGAAATACACCCAAATTAATATGAGAAATTACAAGAGCAGTCGCTTCTTTGTGGGGAGTTTGCCTTTGATTTGGAGAGTGCTTGATAGTTTGTGAAATTCGGGGGGAAAGTCCCAAGCTCCAAGCATCAAAGACATGTTGAGCCATGGGTTTTGGAGGTAAGGAGTCTTACCATGAAGATAAGCCTTTGAGGCAGTATTTGTATACATGATACATTTGCTCACCTTCAGAATCCATACGTGAAAACAACGTAAAATCAAAGGTTGTAGACCCACGGGATTTTTAACATTCCCCCTTCTTTCTCAAACGACCAAGCTTCCAAATCGATGGTTGATGCCCACTTTTCATGGGAGAGATGTCGTAGCTCCCATCCAAACGTCCCAAAAGTCTGAGAACACATAACCTATGCCTCCGTCTTGGGGTGGATGAACACCCATGTACCACCTTTCTTTTTCACCAGAAATACAGGGTTTTGACAAAGAGCCATGGGAACCGCCAAGTCCGCCTGCCCCGCTTTCTCCCGGTTTCCCCAACCAAAGCATCCCGGAAGGGAAAGATTCGGCGCCTGCAGGCACTGGGCGCGCAGCTCGGCGGAGTTCTTGTGGGCCTCCAAAGTCTCCAGACCCTCCTGGCGCAGGAAGCGATTTTTTAGGTCGGCTTTTGGTGGCAAAGTAGCCACCACGAAAATCGGGGGGGGGGGGAGGTTTTCCTCAACCAACCCCGAATGAGAGGTTTCCTTTTGGTTTGCCTAGGATCCGGACCTCAACGATCCAGTGGATGGGCCGCAAATCTGAACTTGGACGAAAATCATCGTCCTAGGCATGAAGCTCGGGGAGTGAGGAACGGAGCACAGGGTGTAGTGCAAATCAAAAAGGGGGGGTCTTTTTTGGAGGCCCGGTGCTTTTGAGGGCTGTTTTGAAGGAAACCAAAAAGAAACCACACGTTTGGGGGTCCTGATTTTGAGACAAACCCGTCTTCGATGGTCTGGGAAATTTTCAAAATCACATCCCCCTGGTGTGTTATTTTCGAAGAAAAAAAGATGATGTGCGATTTAGAACCCAACAGGGGATCAGGCCCGGCAATCTTCCCCAATGGGAAAGGGGATCTAAAATGGTTGGCTGAAAAAGAAAGAGCACATCCAGATGTCGGCAAAACATGAGGAAGCGGTTCCTTAGCTGCCTCAAGTCTTGGGGGCAACTCGGACAGAAGCCCCCCAAACTTGAAGCGGCATATGTTCTTTTTGTTGGCTGAAGCTCAACTCGTTTAGATTTCCGCTCTTAAACCCACAGGTGGTGATCCCTGGGAAAAGGAGAGCAAAAGGACCAGCTACCAGGCAGCTACCAATTTTCTCCCCTTGGCGTTTGGTCGAGGAGCCTCGCACCAACGGATCTGCAGTGTGGTCGCCGTGGGGAAGTGGCGGGTTTAGGCCCCAAAGAAAGCACTGGGGGTGAACCAGAGGTTCGGTCGAATTGCAGGTCTCTGGTCAATGTGGGAGGGACACTAGGGAACTCACCAAGTGTCAAACCACGAAAACAAGTGGGCGAGCCCTACTTTTCCCATGTCCTTTATGGTAACAACATATGGTTGTGGCTCAAACGTCCGGTATCAAAACGGGTTGCCCTGGTAAGTGGAAATATGGACCAAAACCTGCGTAACCCCTCCTGTTTAATTTTGAGCCACGCCCATATCTTGACCGTTCTTCAGAAGCTCAAGGGCGGAAAAGGGGTCAAACATAAACAGCTCGTCCAAGAGGGCTCGACCACCACATCGCTAGATCAGACAGCCGCTCAAATGATTCGCACCCGCAGGCAAGACCAGGAATTTGCGGCTGGGCCGAGATGGCGGCAAAAATCACGAGGATGACCACGGTAGCTGTACTGTCAACCGTGTACCACGAGGCCAGGTAATTGGAAGCCTTGGAGTTGCTGTATTGTACGTCCAGCACTAAGCATGTTCTTCGTGGGATGGAGCTGCTTCTTGTTTGTCAACATTCACCTGTTCGGGAATTAAGTCTGTGGATTAGTCCCCATTCGCAAAATTCCGCTTTCCAAGGATTAACGCCAGATTTCATTCCCATGTGATTTGCGGTCCAGCATGTCTACAATTAGCTCTAGATGTAAATTGAATGCCCACGCAAGACGTACGGAAGGGGTTGAGGGCTCAACCCCCCACAAATACCCAAAAAATCAAATCTGGATTTCACTCCTGTGATGCCTGCCTGCAAAGTCCCAAGCAAAAAGGGAAGCCGTCGTTTTATCCCATAGGCTAGCTGCTACTCAACCAGCACGCAGTCCCGCCAAGCCAGAAATGCAACTCATGTGCGCGAACGCCTGCTAACTCGTGAGTTAATTCCTCCGCGCGTGGGGCTTGCACATTACCCAAACGGCGTTTAATTGACTGCAGACTTAATTGTGCTTGACTCTGCACGATCACTCCCTTCTTGCTGGGGCATGCCAGAAACGCGTGTCAATCCCGTCAAACTATTGCCTAAGATTGCTCATCAGCAAATGAATGGATTCCCTACAACATGCAAGCAAACCATTCACAAGCCATGAACAATTGCGGGCTGATCCGGTACTTTCATCAGGCGGGTGGGTTATTGAGCAGCGTTCTTTCAAATTTTGAAGAATGTCTAAGATGGGATCCTTTTAACCCCCCCTAATTCCCCAGCAAAACGGGTTTGCGCCCCTGTCGGGCACTGGACTTCTTTGCAGGTTCCAACGAAACTGGCGAAATCAAAACCTTCAACCCGGGGGCGCAGAAAAACAAGCAAGCCCTTTCTGCCGGACCCCCAACACCCACCGGACATGCGTCCCGCGCGTCCCCGCCAAGAGGAATCTCCTGCAACGCGTTGCAGCGCTCGTGGAGGCCCCGGAACTCTTGCTGCGTCATGGCCACCAACTCCTGCGGCTTTCGGCGTTCGGCGCGGGGCTCCAGAAATCACATTTGGGCGGTCAAAATTGGGGTAACCCCAACATGGCTTGCCCTGAGAAATGGAAACAAGGACTAAAACCTGCGGTTTGTGTGGTTTAGCTTTGACCGATATCCATTTCGCGCCAGTTGGGATGAAAGATTCCGTCCCATGGACACCAAACAGGGAATCGGCCTACCGAAATGATTAAATGGACCTGAGAATGGGCCCGGTGAGTTTCGTTTGACCTCCCTACGCTTCGCAAAAGCTGGAGACATGAAAACCTCAGTTTCTTGGATGATTATTCGGAACAAATCTGCAAGCAAATCACACGCTTTTGGGAACCACTACTTTACGAAGCACCCATGTTAGACATAGGATCCGTGTCTATCTCGAACCAGTGAAGACCTGACAGCTGTCAGGCGGCCAAAAAGGAAACGGGTCTCAAGAAAAAGGAAATGGCGGCGGCATGAGCCTCTGCAAAAAAGTTGGTGAGACACTACTTTAAGAAGCACCACTACTTGATGAAGCACCACTTTTCTATGAGGAAACACGACTTTATGAGGAAACCTTCAACAAGTACGGGCGGACCTTCTCCAAGGAGTCACAAGGCAAGCTACTTCTGTCAAAGAGATTTTCCCTGCCCTGTAGGGCATGCCGCTTCTTCTCCTTTGGCTGCGCTCATTACGATAACCCACCTTTGGCTGAATTAAGGAATCCCAAAGTAAGCTAGCTTCATCATGAGAAGTCAAACCCGGGTGGCCTGTTCAAAAGGAGATTCCATTTCAAACAACATGTTTGTTTCCAAGATGTTCCCATGCGGTTGGTGCTTTGGGCAAAAACACTGCAAAATTTGCCTACTCAAAAGAAGACGCGGAGCACCCCACCGTTTGAGTGCGGATTTTGTTGATGCCCTTGTTGGGACTACCTGCACATTCAAATCGGTGGCATCTCAAAATTGGTTCCTTTACATAAGTAAGAACCAATTCACCCTCAAAAACAAGAACCCATGTGGGCGTCTTGCCAGGGTACCTTGGGTCGCTTCGAAGGGAAGCCAATGAGAACCCGCCTTGGGGGGGTCCCTCGTTTCCACCAGGGTCATTCCAATTCCATCCCTACGAAGCAGCTTGGAGGGTGGGGGGGTTCTCGTAAAGGACACCTTTTGCAAGCGAAAGCAACAAGAAACCCACCCATTTCAGTTGCGGGGGTTATCTCATTTTCGAAACGCAGCCTCTCCCGCCTGGTGCAGTGACACCAGATGGTTGTCGCCTGGCTGTTGAGCTTTTCATTCCGCCAAAAAGTCGCCGGGTTTGTATCCGGTGGCTGGCTTTGTATCTCATGGTCTCCACCTTGGCTTCAAGTGAAGGTGGCTTCCAATGGCTTCTGATGGCTTCTGCTTTCGGGTGGAAACCACACTGGGTTCCAAAAGGCTTCAGAGGGTGTCACTGCTTGGCTTCGGGCCTCAGGTTGCCTCAACAGGGATTGAAACTGAATCGGTGACCGGGCAGCAAGAGGAAACTTGACGTGTGCCATCAAACGATTGCATTGCATTGGCACACACGATTTCAACTGCGTCCTCATGTTGGGTTCAACATCGAATCCACGCATGAAAGGGCACAGGCTTTCCGGCAAATGGAGCGCGTTGCGTCGCTTCTCGCGCAGGAATCGAACGCCTCCAACTTCCAGTCCTGCGATTTTTCAAGCGAACCTGCAGAAGGGCCAAGCCCTTTGGATCTGCAAGGGTTGGCCCATGCTGGCAACTCTGCTCCGTGATCTCTTTCCTCATGTGCCAAGCCCAAAATACCTTAAAGGGAAAACACCTTGATTGAGGGAAAACGCCTTGTCTATACCCTTAATTGCTGGGTGTAGACCTTAACTAAGGTGTATAGACCATTTTCAGCGGTTTGCCTCGTCAATTAAGGGGTTCCCTCAAATAAGATGTGTTGGTACACTCTCGGTGTGAACATCAGCAAGCCTTTTGGATTCCAAGGATCGGATATGTCAATGGGGTATGGTTAAAAAAAAAAAAACAAAAACGAATATGAACTGCTTTTATTTGAGGCAAAATGGTCGAGGGTGGGAGCGCGGAAACTTCCCAAAAATCTGAGGGTCGCCCTGTAGCCGGTCATTTGTAGGGTGGCAAAACCGAAAACCGCGCGGCCCAGGCTCTGACGTTTAACCCTTTGAAATGATGGGCCGGGTTGGCCTTTTTTCGCGTCGTCTTCGGCCAAACAACGGTTGAGGGAGTATCTTGTCTACCTCAGCGTTTGCGCCACAGTGAACAAAACAACACCACTTTGAGATTATGCTCCGCATCTGGTGAACCTTAAAGCGCAAAAACCCACTGCTTCCAGTTGCCACTATAGCAAGTAGCCGAAGGACTGCATGTGTAAAACAACCAGGAAAAAAAACAGGGAAGGTACACCATACTTACCCAAAGGGATATCAGGTGAGTTCGACCAGAACAAACCCCTACTGCTCCCCAGCTCTCAAAGAAGTTCGGTGTTTACTAACATAGGGACGCCCAGTTTGGCTTTTTTCAGAAAAGCTCATGGTTGTGGAAAGCATCGCTTTCCGTGATACCGAAATTGGCGCAATCGGGCTCCTTGCAAAAAAAAAAAAAAACGGCTGTGCCACATTGGGTGAAATGAAATGGGGGTCTCTCAAACTCCTGACCCAGGGATGTTTGGTGCATAGCCACAGATATAACCAAACAGCGGTCAAGTAGCCGATTCCAGCAATAAAGCCACCATCCTTTGGCCCGCAAACTTTAAGGGTTTAGCCAGGGGTGGAAAATGGGCTGAATTGGAAATCTAGGACTGCGCTGGCACGGGACTAAACCTTTCCCCAGTCCCTAGTTGCAACATCCCCCCTACCTTAAGGGGAGGGTGACCCCTGGAATCCCATTTAGGGTTCCATTTTCCCTTTTGTGGGGAAGACTGAATAAATGGAATTGTGGGACCCCCCACCCCTACCCCCAATTCCCATTTTGAAGGGGGTGGGGATGTTGCAACTCTGTTTTCCACTACAATCCCCTCCTCTCCTCTGCCTCTCGTATCTGGGCTTACGCCCGGCCACCTCACACTGGTGTTTCCTAGATTGAAGCCCGCAACTTGACCCCGGATTCATAAACCCGTCCTATTAACAGAGGGTGTTACCTCCAGGTGTTCTTTCCAAATCAGCTAAGGGCTGTATGATCTCATGTGAGTGTGGCTTCTTTGGCGTTCTCTGTTTGGGATGGTTTTGGAGGGGGATGCAACGGGAAAACACTCAATTTGGGGGGGGGGGGGGGAGGTTGCCTGCTGTTGACCCCGAATCAGGCAACCTGTCGAAAGTTTAAAAAGAAAAAAAGAAAAAGAAAAAGAAAAAAAAGAAACAGAAACCTTCCGAAACAGGTCCCCCCTCTTTTTGCATCAACCAAGTACCCTCGAAACAAAACACGGCGCACACACCTCGGGGTTTTTTCAACGCGCCTCCGTTGAGCTCCGGCCGCTCGCCGGCCTCGGCGTGGCGCGCTTTCCCCTTTTTTTCGAGGCCAAGGGAAGCCGTGGCCATGTTGAGGCCAAAAAGAACAAAAGGAATCCAACGAAGCATCCATACTTTAACGAGGGCCCTGCTAGTCAAATAAACTGCTATAGATGACTTCCTGAAGGCGAATCCAAACAAAGTATACATACTTTTCCGTTGACGGATTTGAACCAGGAGGGCCCTAGTCAAAAACAATGTTTTAAAAAAGGCCATAGATGATATTTCCTCCTGAAAGCGGAGCCACCCCTTAGGTGTAAATCGCAGTGCTTTGCCGACTATGGAAGTCACTCGGTGGCACAAAAAATGACAAGAGCTCACAAACATCTGTGACAGACACTGAGTCACAAGCAGAGATTCTGGGTGAACCCGATCTGAAACCAGGCATTGATGGATGGATGGATGGATGGATGGATGGATGGATGGATGGATGGATGGATGGATGGATGGATGGATGGATGGATGGATGGATGGATGGATGGCTGCATGGTGCGGGCCACACACCCACAAGCAACGCACACAACCAACCATCCGTCCGTCCGTCCGTCCGTCCGTCCGTCCGTCCATCCATCCATCCATCCATCCGCCATTCATCGCATCCACCCCTCCATCCCGCGTGGCAGACATGCGAGACCGGCGCTCGGAGCAGTAAAAAACAACTTTCAAATGATGTGTCATACTTCGTCTACCCTAAAATATGAAACAGCTTTCAAGAAGACCCCAGAAAATGGGTGAGGTCGCAAGTACGTCGTTGTGCGGCCAATTTGCCCAGACTGTTGTCCTGATACGGGTGCACCCCGCATGAACATCAGCTTGTGGACCTTTCAAAGCTGCCATTGTTGGGTTATGCCTTGAAGAAGCGGGCTCGGTCAAACCTATATCGAATAACTCATATGTAGCCATATGTATATATAAATATACATATGTATATATATATATATATATATATACACTATGTATATATATATATACATATGTCTGCGTGCTCATGTAGTTGGCATGATCCAGCCAGGGCATGGTTTCAAAGTGACTTGGTGTGGCACCCCCAGAGGTCCACAACATGGCCATTGATCACAAAGAGGCTTCGGCCGTTGCAAGGTGAAGGGACTGAAAGGAGTCCAAAAGCCGACGAAGAGCATTCTGAACGTGAAGAAGGGGATTGCTACCCTGAGACCAAGAAACCGCCGGAAAATTCCAAGTGATCAGTGTCTTCAAAGCCCACGTTTTGATTGAGTGTTGAAGGCCATGGCTTGTGACTGCCGCTGCCCTGTCCCTTTTGGAGACAAAGCCGCAACCCATTCAAGCGCGCAGGCGGCCTCTCGGCCATCTTTCACCGCCCGAACCCAAAATGGCCGGCTCTTCTTGGCTTTTCCAACACCAAACCCAGAAAAAGCAAAAATGGAGGGAAAAAAAAGAAGGAGGAACCAAAAAAAGGAAGAAGACCCGCAAGGGCTCTTCCCTTTTTTTTCCAGAAAACCCCCACCTTCCGGGACGAACCGCCCAACCCGAAAAAAAAAAACACGAAGAAGAGACCTCTCCGCCCTCCACGTGGTCTCCGCTTGCTCTCCTGGCCCCGCCTCCAGCTTCTCGAGCCGCGCCTCCAGGCTCGTGACCTCCAGATGTGGAAAAAAGCCGAAAGAAACCGGCGGCGGCAAAACTGAGGGAGGGAAAAACGTCGAGAGGGGAAAAGGAAAGAAATGGCGCCCGCTCCCCGCTCCCCCCTTTTTTTTCTGCTGTGTTTGTTTTTGCCCCTCTTTTTCTAATTTTGCCTGAGGTTGTTTGCTTCTTCTTCCTTTTGCTTTTTCGACGCTTTGCTGAGTGTTTCCCACGGCCATCTGTAAATCCACGCTTTTGGGGGATGACGCAGTCGTGGCTGCTTGCCCGTCTGTGAGGGACCAACCTGGGGTCTGGAAAGGAAACGTCTTGTTTACAACTTTGTGCGCGGCCGAGAACTTCATCCCGGGACATTGATCGAGGGACCCTGAGTAGCCCATGGTTCTTTTCCGCTGTGTGCGCAGAACGTATGGCCCGTGCTTCCACTCAAAAAAGCGTCTGCCAAAATGAACCCTGCACTGTGAGCCTCTTTCAGCGAATTCCCCGTCCTCCTGAAACAAGCCCTTCCGTGTTTGAGTTTTGGGAGCCCTTCAACCATGATGCAACCGAACAAAATCCTGCCACCAGTCGAAATGGATACACCCTCACGAATGTTGGGACAAACTCCTCACCAACTGGTGCCTGGCGGGCTTTGTGTGCCCATGAGTTTGGAAACCTCCAATTCGCTGCGTGCGGCAACATTGCCATCCATGTGCTGATATGGGTAGGTCTCAAAATATGGGGGACCCCCGAAAAGGAGGCGGTTGCTCTTTGAAATCCCTGCAAACCACTTCTAAAACCGGCGCCCTCTCAAAAAAAGAAACGAGCCACCCCCATACGCGAGCCATCCTATCCCATCATATGGGTCCCATAAGAAAGACCCTGTCTCCCAGGCCTGCCGCGCGCACATCTCCTGGCGCCGGGTACAGGTCATGAGCCAGACCGCCAACGCCTGATACACATCCATGTTTTGTTGGTCAGGGCTTCTGGTCCGGCAGTAAACGTAAGAAAGCAAAACTCCATTTCGATTGACCCAAACAAGGATGTGCAAGCAGCCTTCCTTTGGGTCAAGCTGGAGGTCTATATTCAAATCAGCTTTCGCCCCCCAAAAAGACATGGAGTTTGTAGGCCATAGAAAACCTTAAAACACTGAGGGAGGAGAAAGGCAAACAACAACCCTCCCCCACGCAAGTTGCCAGGCACTTGTCAACCTTGCATAAGCAAAGTCACTCACGAAATGGGCCCCATCTTTTCTGCCAACCTCAAAACGATCTTGTGTTTATTTATCCTTGCACAGAAAAACGTTGGACCATGGAAACACATACATGTTCAACCAAGCCTCCAAAGGTTATTCCGATTTAAGCAAATAAGCGGGCAAAATATGCGGCTACCCAAAAGGACGTGGACAGGTCGGTAAGTTGGCTGTTGCTCTGGGAAACTTAGTGAGTCCCCTAGTGTCCCACCAAATTCGGTTTCAAATCCACGAGCCTCGAGCCTTCAATTATCTGGGGTGGGGTTGCCTTTTGACCCTGGCTTTGATACCCAAAAAAGCCCTTCAAATGGGTTTTGTGTGGGTTCCCAAAATACGAAAGAGGCCAAGTCGCCTCTTGGACCTTTTGACCCCACCCTTGGAGGAGAATGAACCCCGCGTACCCCCCCCCCCCCCGCTCTTTGAGGGGATCAGCTTTCTTCCAAGTGAGATGCTTGTGCTCTGTTTTGGATCAAGCGTTGGCTAGACCTCATACCGCTGTCGCTGCTCTTCGTAACAAGACCTTACCACAGTCTTGTAGGAGTAAGCTACTAGCACTTTTGCCGCCTCTTTATCGGGGCCACCTGCGCGTTTTGCCTGGCAAGGCTCCCCCAGAAATGGCCACAAAGGCATTTAGACAGTGCGCCTTTTTCGACCGAGGAGAGACGTGTATCTTTCATAAGAAAGACTCATCTTCCAGAAGCAACCCCCGCTCCAACTTGCATCTTGTTGGGTGGATCGTGAAAAAAGGAGTGACCCGCAGAATCTTCCACCAGGACCCCAAATTTCTACCACCTTGGGGTTTGGAAATCTTTGGGAGGTCGGAGCAACTCTGAGAACCAGCCCCTGAGCAACTTGTTTCTAGCCTTCTAAAGGTGAGGCAGGTTTTTGAACTGGTCATCGACCTTTCACGACCCCCCGTAAATTCGAACGGAACGGACGTGTGAGACAGCTGAATTCACATCTGGTACCCGTCGGAGATCTGGTTGCTCCGGACCAGGCGGATCACTCCCTCGCTGTTCTGCCGCACCTCCAGGCTGATGCTTTGGGGTCGGCTTAGGGAGTCGGTTAAAAAGTGGCCCTAGGGAGTGGCCTTGGGGAGAGGGTTTAGGGCGTGTCGCTGGGTGCTTTGGCTATGCTCGCATGCGATTCAGGTCTTGTATTGTCTGGGCTGCTCGAAATGGGCTGTGTGGTCAATCCGCATTCAGTGAGGCTGTTCACGGGAATACTGGTAGCTGAAACAGACCATCCAAAAGGAGCTGTCCACCACGATTGCCTTTCCTCGCACTGCCTTTGAACGGCCTTTGGCCATCTTTCATGATCTTGGAAGCTCCCTCGTCCAAACGCGGCGCACATGCGGGGGGCTGTTCACGGAAGTTCTAAAACACAGAACAGCCGTGTCGGGGTTAATCTGAACTCGCTCCCTCCAAATGACAAATATCTTTGTCCTGATTCGTGGGGTAACAATAGTTTCCCAACGGCAAAAAATGGTCGTCAAGGTCCCCAAAGAGCAACCAACATGTGATCTTCGTAGCTCAACTTGCGTAAGGTGCGAGATGTGACACTCACGCACGGTGCTTTTTGTTTGATGGGTACCCGTTTTTATTGGGCTGCGTTCAAGAGAAACCGAAGGGCAACCACTCAATTTGCGGGGCTCCTTGGCCCTGTGCGTCAAGGGGTTTAGGGAGTCGATTTAAAGAGTGGCTTAAGGGAGTCGGTTTAGGGAGTGGGTTTAGGGAGCCGGCTTAGGGAGTCGGTTTCGGGAGTGGGTTTAGGGAGTGAGTTCAAGGAGTCGGTTTAGGGAGTGGCTTCAGGAAGTCGGTCTAGAGAGTCGGTTTAGGGAGTATGTTTAGGGAGTCGGTTTAGGAGTGGGATTAGGGAGTCGGTTTAGGGAGTGGGTTTGCGGAGTGGGTTTAGGGAGTGGGTTTAGGGAGTGAGTTTAGGGAGTGGGTTTAGGGAGTGGGTTTAGGGAGTCGGTTTAGGAGTGGGAGGGAGTGGGTTAGGCTGTGTTAAGGGGTTCCATGGTCATGAAAATACACTCTCTGTGAAAACTGATTTTCATGACTACTAAAGCGAGTTTCCTTGGTACGACAGACATTGGCTCTAAACCCAACTTTTCCACTAGCATGATGCTTGTCTTAATAGAGACCAATGTGAGCTTACCATTGAAACCTCTGCTGGATCAGGAATTAAAAGGGATGCTACTCTACCAAAAAGAACCTTCACATTGTGGCAATTCAGCGCCCTATGTTCAATTGGGGAGTAGTGTAAACCAAATGAAAAGAACTTCTGCAAACCTCCAACTAATAACCTCCAACTAACAGGGCCCATCAACGACTGCTTTTTCCAGCTTCAACCCGTTCAGGATCCCACCTTGAAAAGGCGGCGCCTTCAATTGGGGGGTTGGCTTTCACTCAGGTGTCAGCAACCCCCCTTTTCTTTGAACTGCGCAAAGCAGGCCTGCCGAACAGGCCCAACCGGCCGGAAAATGATGAAACATCAGATTCTGGGTTCGGAACAGCCCAATCCGAACCAGGGTGGTTGGCGAAGGGTGTGTGCTTGGTTCGCGCTGCAAAGAACCCACCTTCCTTCATGGAAAAAGACTGAATGCGTAAATTCCCCCCCCCCCCCCCGCTCTTTGAACGGCCCTACTGTGGATGGACAATCCTGCACCACTTTGAAACCATGGAAAACCATTGCGTGTTGGTTGCAGGGGAATCGCATCATTCCAGGGTTTCTTCGGTGCAGGATTGCGTCCATCCACAGTATGGCCCAGACCCAACCTGCCGCCCCGCAACAAAAAACATTCATTGCCCCCCCCCCCCTCCTTTCCTTTTTCTTCCCCCCTCCTTCCCCCCTCCTTCCCCCCTCCTTCCCCCCCACCCCCCCCACCCCCCCGGCTCTTTGAACAGCCCCATGGCCCAAACCCCCAAGCCCAACCTGCCGCAATACCCCGAGCGCCTCGTCCAGGCCCTGGGTGAGCTCCACGAGATGCTCGAAGAGCACCGCCGTGCACTCGATCACCCCGGTGAGCTGCACGCGGAACTGGTTCCTGCGCGATCCAAAAAAGAATTGTCCTTCGGTCTGGGGCCATGGGGCACAACCTGTGGCTCCACTTTGGGGTGGAACATCCATTTGCCGCCTATGATGTTCACCAGGGATACAGGGTTTTGACCCACAACCATGTGTCACAATAGAAAACCCTGCCAAAATGGTGAAAAGGTGACCCTCGAAAAGCACGCACCTACTTAGAGACATGCTGAAACTGGCGCCAACCAGGGTTTTTTGGGAATGCTCTTAAAGGAGACCAATGGCTCTTAGGGGTCGGAAAGCAGGCCGAGAAGCAGCCTTCGGCGAGTACACTGCTCGATTCATTAGGACTTTCCCTTTGGGTCTGAAAGAATTGGGGATGAGTTTTGGGACCTTTTAGACAGTGACGCCCCCGAAACCCATGCATCATGCAGACTCAAAACGGATTTCCCGCGCTCCGATTGTGTGCGGAAGCTTGCCGCCACTTCAGGCTGGTGCCATTTGATTCCTGTGACCCCTTGGGTCAGAAAGCCCACCAAGCCGCTCCATACTTTTTCTGGCCCTCTGGGGTACACCAAAAATTGTGTAAATGATCTTCAGAATCTGTTTCGTATCTAGTCAACCCCCCCAAAAAAAAAAGAAGCTCAGGTGATATCCCCAACAGCATGCGGTGCTCTCTTTAGTGCTCGCAGCCCTCGCAGAACCTCGTGGAACCCTCGTGGAACCCTGGTGGAACCCTGGTGGAACCCTGGTGGAACCCTCGTGGAACCCTCGTGGAACCTTGCCTCAGGGCCGCCCCGGACAACCCCGGAGCCTATCTGGGCTGAGACCCCCAAGCTTTCAGCTGCGGGGGGGGGGGGGGGGAAAAAAGTTTTGAAGGAGACCCTGTTGGTCTTCGGCTTCAAGTCCCAAAGCAAACTGCGTAACTACGCTTGCCTGCGAGCGCAGGAGCCAAGAACCACGAACGGGCTTGCCTTTTTTTTGCATTTGTTGGTTTACCAACCAGGTAGGCAAAGGATTGCGGTGGGCGGAGGTTGTTTACGGGTTTTGGGAAGACCCCTTCTACTTGTGACTGACGTGAGTGCGCGTGTTTTGATGATGCATTCTCACTTTCAAATGGGGCCTTCAAAATCGTTTGCGAGCATCCAAAAAGCATACCAGTTCAAACATGTCAGGGAGTTCTGAGTGTTGTGCCCACCAAAGGGGGGGTTTCATGCAAAAAGGGGGGTGCAAGGGAACTAATGTGATACCAACCACTTGCAGGGGCGCCACATAACTGCCAAAAAAATGAGAATCAAAACCTGGTGCCAACGGATCGAAGAGGCGGCATCTGTTCATGGTCGGGACGGAAGTCCCCTACTTACTTTTGTCAACCCAGGTTTCATTTGGGGACGATCTGAAACTGAGGGTCAGGTCGGGATGGGGTTCTGCATCAAACGGAAAGTTGAAAGCAGGGTTTGCGGGGAAACGGCAACCTGCCCCAGCAGGGGAAATGATTAGTGCTCAGCTGCAGGATCTTTTCTTTGACCAAAAAACGGCTTCCGTGCGAATCTTCATGTTCAGCACTCCTCCCAGGTGCATTCCTCTATTGGTTGCACCTGCCAAAAACTACTGCTCAAGCCGTCCTAACCGCAGCATCCTCATATTGTCCGCCCCGTCATACAGCACCGGCAGGTCGTCAAAGTGAAGTACCTCTCGCCGGCGCATCGCCTCACCATGTGATAGAGGCCGGGCTCCGTTCCGATGTGAAGCTCCCCATAGAGCGTGGTCAGCAGTCTCCGGGCATCGGGGGTAACGCACCTTGGGCATGGCAGCTTCTCTCGCGTTCCTCGCCCTTCTCGCAATCCATAGCAATTCAGACGGAAGTGGTACCTCTCCCCTTGCCCGGTATGGAAGATCGACGGCTCCGTCGGCAGACTCTCCCCATCACTCTCCGGGTCAGGATCATCTGCTTGCGTCGTGCCTTCCCACTGCTTTGCCTTCCCTTTCTGGCCCTTTGACGCTCCCTTCTTTGGGACCGCCCCAAGCATAGCCGCGCTTGACCCTGCCGATGACGATCCCCTGGTTGAAGGCTCCCCCCTTCGTGTAGTAGCGCTCGTTCCGAACGTAGATGTCCTTGCCGTCGTTGTCCTTCCCCACGAAGTCTCCGCCTCTTCGAACTCCGGCTCATATCTTGACGTTGGCCTTGCCACCGAGGATGTACCTCCGGTTCCAGACCCGTCTGACCCTCTCCCACTCCCAGCCGACTCCACCACAGAAGACGCCACGGAAGTAGGTCTCGGCCGTCTCGAATCCGACGTCGAAGACCTTGCATCTCTTGCCAGCTCTTGCTCACTTCCAGACGCATCATCGTCTTCACCTCGGGTCGGGTCCGCCCATATCCCTCTCAGGGCTCTCACCCTCGGGGCCACCTTTCTCTCACACATCATCTCCATCAGCTTGAAGAGGACAATCGACAGCACGCTCACCATGACCATCAATGCCTTGAGCGACTCATCCTCCTCATCTCCATTCTCCTCAAGCTTCTCCTTCACTGCCTGCGCCTTGGATATAAGGCTGGCCACGGTGATCACGCGGACCACTCCTGTCGCCACTTCCACCTCACCAAACGCCTTCTGGCCCCCGCACTTCTTCTGCTCCTTTGCGAGGTTCGCCTTGATCTTGTTCAGAGAGTTCTCCACGGTCATCTCCTCCTGGACGAAGTCCCCTCCCTGATCTCCAAGCTGGTTCAGGTTCCCAGTCTCCTTTTTCTCAAGCCCTTCCAGCTTCCAAAGCGCTCTCAGCTCTTCCATTCTTTTCCCGCTGAGTGCCTTCGTTCCCATGTCGGCCAGCATACGGACACCAGGGACGTGGTGCATACTCCAGCTCTGATCCTCCAACCTCCATCTGAGATTGAAGGCTCTCACTCTCAAGTGCCTTGTTCTCCAGCTCCCGCTTCCCTCCGAAGCTATTGCCATCGCCGATGAGCTGTCCGTCAGCAGCTGCCGCACGTAGTGGTTGCCGGCCGCCTCTTCAATCTCGGCCACGAGCGCCTCCACGCTTTCGCCCATCACGATGCCCTCCAAACACTCCGCCAACTCGGACTCCGCCGTGCTCATGGTGGGAAAGCTCTGCCTCGAACTTCTCCATGCGATAGCCCCACCATTCCACAGCACCGCCACAGATCCATGGCTCAGACCGCCACCCGGCGAGAAGGAGGCATCCGTGAAGACCTCAATTCTTCTCTCCTCCAGGCCAGACTCACCGGTGCCCACCTCTGCTTCCAGCCACAGGCCAACCTCCTTCGTCTTCTGAAGGTATTTCCACACCTGGGCCGCCAGCTGCAACACCCACTTAGGCGCCTTGGTCACCGCCGAGGACATTCTGCTCGTGACATACATCAGGTCTGGCCTCGTCTTTGTGGTCAACCAAAGGATCTCCCCCACGGCCCTTTGCGCCGCCTGAACATCCCCAGCTTGAATATTTTCCTCCTCCGGGAGTTCCGTCATCTCACGGGTGATCGGCAACGCAGACCCATGACCACCACCACCGTTCCTATTGAGGACCTCCTGGATGTAGGCCTGCTGCCCCAAGTAGAACCCTCTCGCGGTTCTAGATATCTCCATTCCGCAAAAACGGACCTTGGTTCCCTCCTCAATCTTCTCCGGCTGGCTCGTCTCCCACATTGCGCTTATCTCGCGGGCAAAGTCCTCGAGCAGCCCTTCTTCTCCGTATGCCAATATGTCATCCACATAGACCACGACCACACCTTCAAGACGCGTGCCTTTCTCAGCTCCTCCCAATCTTGCCGTAGAAGAGCTCCGCGTCGTAGCCTCACCAGTGTCCATCTCCGAGAGAACCTTCCAGACGTTAGGATCCGCAATCGACTGATCCATCCAGAAGACTCTTCCTTCTTTCCTCCACTCCATGTCACGGACGCGCTCATCCCTGAAGTTGGCCCACCGCTTTGGCGATTCTCTGAGTCCATATAGAGCTCGCTCCACCGCCCAGAACTCATCTCGCCGACACAGGCCGAGCTGCACCAAAATCGCTGGCGGCCTCATCAAAACCACCTTGGTGCCCTGGCCCTCCTTCATCACCGACTGCAGAGGAGCGTTGAGGAAAGCGGTCTTGATGTCCAAAACCATGCCGGCCCATCCTCTCTCCGCGGCATACTTCGTTGCCGTTCGGATTGACATCGCGTCTGAGCCGCCCGCGTAGAGCGACTCCTCCTGCTCCTTTCCGCCACCCTCTGCATAGTTTCCGCAGATCACCAACCGACACTTCTTCTTTCCTGCTGGCGCCTTGATGGTGGTCACCATTTTTCCAGGCATCACCTCCACCTTGATCATGGGGTCATCCATCATGGCCTTGGCCTCCCCTTGACTCACGATCCTCACCGCCTTCTTCTCCTCCAGCAGCGACTGCATCTCGGCCTTGATTGCCGGCAGCCACTCCTCACGATTCTTCATCACTTCTGCTTGTCCCACCATCCTTGTTTGGAGAACTTGCCGTTCTTCTGCGCCCGGAAGCTCCTCAATCAACTTCTCCTCTTCCTTCTGCAACTCCCGAACCTTCACGGCCGTAACCCCAAGCACTTCTCCTTCATCCTTTTCACCCGCTAGCTGCTCCTCATAGATGACCTGTCTGAGTGCTTCCAGCCTCCTTCGGTCTTCGTCTCTTTCCTCTGCAGCTCTTTTCCCTCTGATCCTCCTCCTGACTCGATGATCATCAATGGCATCCACCTGCTCCTCATCTCGAGGCTCTCTTACCCCAGTGATCACCTTGGACACCACCTCCACCTTGCCATCTTGCCGAAGGATTCCATGATGCTTCGTCACCTCTGGGACCTCCGCCAGGTAGCGCGCCTTCTCATGAGTTGGACCGAATGGATCCCTCAACTTCTTCCATGACCTCTTCGGGACCCAAACCTCCTCCCCAAACGCCGCCACCATCTTTTCTCCCTTCGTCCTCTTTTCTTCCGCCACCACCGCATACCTCGCCGCCATGGGCCAGAACTTCACGTCCATCTCGGCCCCTCGTAGCAGCCTCCTCACCTTGCTCTTCAAGCTAGCAATGCAGGCCTCTGCCCTTCCATTCTCTTGCGGGGAGTCCGCGCTAGTGGTGGTTTTCGCCACCTCCCTCACGAGACACCAGCTCCGAAGATCATGGTTGAGGAACTCCTTTCCGCGGTCCGTGTGGAGCCGTTGAACAGGGTACCCCTGCCTCTTCAACTGGATGTAGATGTCCTGGATACCCTCCAGCACCGTCTTTGCCTTCTTGTTTGGCAGCGGGATCACCTTCACAATGACCTTGAGGGGCCTTGGCTCTCCACACTCCTCTCTTGCAAGCTCCTCATCTCCTCTCCCTTCACCACGGGCGTCTCGTAGATCTGGTTCTCCACGTTCCGGCTCCTCCGCTCTTTCTTCTTCTTGGATGCCCTCCTCGATCACCGGGAGGTCCTCTTCCTTCACTTTCTCGTCTTCTTCCTCCTCCGGAAACGGCTTCCCTGGTTCCTCCTCCACGGGCCAAGTGTACGTTCCGATGAGAAAGTAGCTCACCGTGGCATCGTTGATGTCCTTGCCCGGCCGGAACGGACCGCTGAGATCCAAGCTCAACACCGCTGCTTCCGGATAGGCAATTTTGCAATGCCTCCTTCCCCGAGCAGACGCCTCCTGACAGACCCGGCAGTCCCGCCTGAAGGGGGTATGCCCGTGCAATAGGTGCTCCCGCCAACTCAGTTTGCAATTCCTCGCTGGCTTTCTGAACACCTCCTCCTGCACCGCCCGGGCAACCTCCCTCATCATGCCTGGGGCCCACCTTGACAAATCCGCTGACGACTTCACCGGCGCTTCACTCCTTGTTCTTGCCGTCGTGGATCTAGCCGTCGGCATCTCCAGATGTAGGTTCGTGGCCACCATTGTCGGCTTGACCGCGGCTCCTCCATAGTCACCTTGCCTGAACCGGTACTCCACCAGCCCATGATCATCTCTCAGCCTTTGATAGCTGTCTGTCCTCCACCAGCAACCACACTCCGGCACGTAGTCCGGGGCCTCCGGCTGCTCCAAAAGGAAAGCCACCCGCTTCTTCTCAGAGCTGCAGGATGCACATCTCTTCCGACCTTCCTCCGCCGCACAGAAGATCATCACCATGCGGTACAGGAGCACGTCGTCCTCCCACACCTGCGTTCTCTCCTCCGGGTCTAGATTCGGCAACCCAAACCAGTGCTCCGGATCCGAGCTCCTCACTGGCCTTGGTCGGCCCGCCGGAAGTGGGTAGTGCCTCAACACGCTTCTTGTCCTGCAGTTCGGCCCACCAACCACTCCCAAGATCATGCCACTCATCGCTGCGTGCATCAAGGAGGCATAGAGGTCGTCCTCCATCATGTCATGCCGAGGTCCTCGCTTCACGTCAATCTCCACCAAGCGAGTCTTGTCCCCGCCGACCTCCTTGAGCGCTCTCCCCAACGTGTAGCCGTCATCCTCCCCCGCGTAGAGGTGCAGCACAAAGCCATCCAAGAGCTTCCTCCTCCGGGACCGATTCAGCGGTATTCCGCTCAGATCCTTTGCAGGCTGAATCACCACCTTCTCCATGATCTCCACCGGGATGCCCTTGAAGACCTCCTCGTTTCTCGCCAGGTTCACCACCACGCTCTCCTCATTCATTCTTTTCACCGTCGCGTTCTCCCTCATCTCCAACTCCTCCAGCGCGTTGATGAGAACCAGCGCAACCTTCTTCTCCACCTCGGGGCATCCTGCGTTCATCCGGACCTGGATCTCCCCCATCACCGGATGCCTCAATTGGCAAGCCCCTTTCTTGTTCCACCTCACCTCGCAGCCCAGCTTCTCCACTAACATCCCGAGAGGAACGATAGGCTGCACTCTGTCATCCTCATGACCGATCACCTTCCCCGCCGTCATCCTCAGCAGCGTCTTCTCCCCACCCGCCAGTTCGACCTGGATCTCTTCAAGGCTCTGCCAATCATCCGATCCGCATACTCCTCGCATGGCATGCGTCGCCCCCGAGTCCAGCAATCCATACTCCGGCAGGTAGTCAATCTTCGACACCTTCACGAACCTCAAGGCTCTCAACCTCTTCATCTGGTCCAACTGCTTCTGCAAGTCGTTGAGCCTCCCATCTCTGTCCTCGCGCCCCGTCGAAGTGGCCGCTTTGATGTTGAGAGATCGGAGCATCTTCCCGGCCTCTTCCAGCACCGATTGCAGCCCGTCTCCCTCCTTGGCGTCCTTAGCGTTCTTGGCGTTCCCCTTCGACGTTGCCAGTGTCGCCCCCGAGGACTCAGCTTGGTCTTCTCCTTGATGACCGCTCTCATCATCGTCCACCTCCGTCACCTTGGCGATCTTGCTAGGCGACTTCTCGGTCCGGTTGCCACCCTCCTTGTCCTGCTGCTTCCTTGGACAGTCCTTGCGGTAATGATCCACCGCTCCACACTCGTAGCACCGGTTTCTCTCGTCCTTGGCCTCGTGGCTGAACGTACACTGTCGCCCTCGTCGACATCCAGCATCCGTGAGATAGTACCGGCAGGGCTTCCTTTCTCGCACATCTCCTTCTTTCTTAGGAGACCGCCCATCCCAGCCTTTTCCACCTCCGCCTCCCGATGCTGTTCCGGCTCCCTCGAACTTCTTGATCTTTGCGTCGTAGTCCGGGGCCTTAACCATCTTTTTCTCCGTGTGCACCAACTGCTCAAGCTCCGACAGAAGGTGCTCGCAGTAAGTGCTGATCGTGCCGTAGTTGGGCACGGTGTCCACCTGCAGGGTCGATCTGGCCAGGCTGATCTTGAAGCTCAGGTCCTTGTTGCCCTCCAGCACCTTTTTGGTAAGCCTGTGCAACCCTCTGCTCAGGACCGAGGGGTCTGGCAAGGAAACCCCGATTTCTTCCGCTCTTCGCTTCCACCTCAGCCATCTCCTGATCCCCTGAACTGCCGCCTGAATGGTCGTCGCCTCCTGCGGCTGTTCCAAGTTCTTGAGGATCGACGACCTCTCCGCCACTCCTCCTGGTTGGTACAGCAGCATCAACCGGCACACCAAGGAGAACACCTCCAGGCTCTTGGTCGCGATCAGCTCCTCCTTGACCTGGTCCGGAAGGGCCTTCATGAGCAACGTCACCGCGCGGCGCTCCACCCTCCTCCATTTCCCGTTACTCACCTCCAGAGGGGCCGTCGGAGTCAACAACAGCCGCTGTAGTGGGGGCTCCGTCATGTACCTGTCGTACCAGCTCTTCGTGTGCTTAAGCATCAACTCCCACCACTCCTGACTGGTGTCGGAAAGGTCCGCCATCACCGGACCCACCATGGTGAGCCAGTCCTGAAGGTCGATCGGCCCGGTGTCTGCGCTCAGCTCCGGCAACATCGGCAAATCCACCGCCGACTTCACCACCTCTGCGTTCACCTCATCGCCTCCATGACCATTGTCCCGGATCTTCTTCTGGATCTGTTGCATGCCCTCCATGAGCTTCAGAATGAGGTTCAGGTGCGCATTTCCATCTTGAGGTTGATCTTCCTTGATCAGCTCCTCCGAAGATTCCGCCGCTTGCCCTTGCCCTCGTTCCGCAGGTTTGCCTTCACATTGTCCCTGATCCAGTGCTCGTCCGGCACCTCGCTTCTCCACCTCCATGTCCGGTGTCGCGTAGGTCTCCTCCGACTGATTGCCCTTCCTGAGCTTATCATTCTCTGCCCGAAGCCTCTGGATCTCCATCATGAGGTACTCCTGCATCCGATCGGGCCGTGGCACTTGTCGCGCGCCTTCTCCTTGTCCCGCTCGAGGTGCTCCATCTTCAAGTTCCAGAAACTCAGGCCTTTTCAGGCTCGGCTCTGCTGCAGCCTTCCGGCCACCCAGATTCACCAATCCGCCCGGCCTGTCCCACCTCTCCAGGTACTCCAGCTGCTCCGGCGTGAAGAGTGGCCCATAGACCACCGGGTCACCCTGCGGTCCTCCACCCCATTGTGATTGTTCCCCAGGATCTTGACCTTCTCCTCCACGTTCGCCTGCTGCGGCCCACGGATTTCTCTGCGCTGAAGCCGCTGCCGTAGACCACAATCTCCTCGGCATCATCGTGCCCTCCGTTCCCTTTGTCGCCGGGGTCCTGCTCGCGTCCATGTTCTGCAGCACCGCCACCTCCTGGCCGATGAGCTCGAGCCCGGGGGCTTCCTCCGGCGATCCATTCGCAGGCCCAGACCGGCCTCTTTCTCCACTTCGGGCTTCCTGCCCTTGACTCTCCGCCTCCGTGGCCCCAGTGTCCTCCGCCTGGCCCACGTCCATCAGCGGCAGCGGCTCCGGTCCTTGCCCATCAGGGGTTCCCGCGCCACCTTCTCCTCGACCTTTGCCATTGCGGCGTCGAGCTAACATCGCCTCGAATTTGGGCTCATAACCTGCTCAGCTGCAGGATCTTTTCTTTGACCAAAAAACGGCTTCCGTGCGAATCTTCATGTTCAGCAATTAGAATGAAGTTGCGGGGTACATAAACAAAAGAGGAAAGAGTCATGACCATGGGACAATCATGGCTGTTATTATTCAGCCCTTTGCATTTGGGTAAGGAAAACCACTTGGGGTTGTTTCCCTTAACAACCATAGACAGAGCATCTACACCCACGATTGGGTATGCGGCAAAACAGGGCAACCCACAAAATTCGCCCGAAAAAAAAAGGCACCTTCAAAACAAACAAAAAGAGCCAGACCCAATTCTGGGTCCCCAAATGCATTCACAGCACCGTCCTTCTGTTTCTGTTTTGAACCCTTTCCTTTCTCAAGGAACAAAATCCGTTGCGCCCATTTGAGGTCCCAAATTGCATTCATAGCACCCTCCTTCTGTTTCTTTTTTGAACCTTGTCCCTTTTACCCAATTTTGGGGGTCCCAAAAGTCCCGGGCCAAACTGGGGCCACGAAGCGCCGCATCCGGTCTCGCGGTCTCGCCGTGTCCTGAGATCCAGTATGGCGGAGCTCATCTGCTCGGCGATCTGCGTCATCTCCGGGACCTGCGCGGAGCGACCCGCGTCGAACGCTCGCGCGCCGTCGTCGCGTCGCGTCGTAATTGTTGTGTTGCCTGAAGACCAAACATGGTGAAAATGAGAAATGTTAGCTGAATAGTTCTCTATCTTACTTTGATTGGGGGAACGTAGGAGGGGCCCCCTGCGCTTCGGAGGGATGTTGGGTTCCAACTTGATGAAGGTACCGAATGAAAGCACGTTCACTCATGATCATGATTTAAATTGGGTTCAAAGTTCCCCGCAACCCCATGCTTCTTGTTTCGGCCCTTACAGTATGACAGGCCCAAAGGCATCTTCGACCACAACGGAAACTCGCCAACATCCCCACCACAAGGAAACTCGCCAAATAAAAGCCCTTGAAGGTGAACTCCGGCGAAACCTCTGAAGTGCCCAAAGGTCCGACACACGCAGAGGGGGTGTCAAGCGTAGGGCCAGAATTTTAGAACCAACGAGCACAAGGTGCATTGCATGCATTGGCAAATGGAAAGTCGAAATCCACCTGCGATCTCCCATGCTTGCATCCTCTGCATCCCCTGCATCCGCATCCCTGCATCTGTGTGAAACTCCTTCGTGCTCTTCATCTTGCGTGCACGCCCTTTCAGCTCTGTGCGCATCCTCTTCAACCTCCCCTTTCCTGTCAACCATCCCAGCATTCTGCGAGCATCGTGCATCCCCTGAATTAGTTGCCAACATCTCAATTGCACCAGGCCTCTGACCACATCCCCACCTCTTCCATTCCCTTTTGCGGTGGGGTACGCTTGTTTTTTGAGCAAACTGTCTCGGAAAATAGAGGGGGGGGAGCGGCGAGTCTATTTGCCCAGTACACCCCACTTATAAGGTGTGTTTGTACATACCTCGTTTTCCCAAAAGGCTATTTGTCATGCATCCAAACCTTCTTCTAGATTCACACAGGGCGGTCCTTGTTCTTTTGATTCCGCCCCTGCAATGAATCAACTTGAGCACATTAAACGGAACCTGCAAAGAGTTTTGCTGCCCTTTGACTAGCTGGGCAAAGCAGCCCACCCTGTTGTGGTTAGAAAAGCCCTATCGCGTCCGTTCCCTGCCGGAGATCCTCCGTCAGAAACAAAGACAGACCAAGATTCATCAGTCAAACACATGTCTCGCAGACCCAGTCCAAACCCCCGCTTGACCCGCTCTTAAAACACTCCAAGTCAGCTGGCTGGGTTCAAATCCTCAAGCCAATCCAAGCACCAGCCAAGCAGGAGCCGGCAGAGGACCTCATGGGGACTGGTAGCGTGTAGCAAGCACAGGCGCCTGCCTCTGGCACGTCATCGTCCAGCTTCACCCGCCTTGGAGCGCCAGCGAGCGCTTGCAAGAGCGCTGCGGGATGGGTAGTTGGAGGAGGTCCTGAAACATACCATCGCTCAGAAAAGAAGAAACACGCACACGCTGTAAAGAAGCACAAACAAAAACACCTAGGACAAATTTACAAGGCCCCCCCCCCCCGCACTGGGGCTGCTGATGACTGAGAGTAATTTTGCAGGGGGTTTCCCACATGACAGCACCCTGACCTGGGTTCCCTTGAGGAAATTGAACCCTCAGGTCTCCCACAATGGGTGCTAAGTTTGTGGCAGGAAAACAGTTCTGAATAGCCATTCAACAAAACCCCGACATATGGCCGCGGGTCAAAAATAGGTACCCAAAATTCAACCCTGGAAAATAGAAAAATGAACTAAAATCTGCGCTCCCCTGGTGGTTTAATTTTGACCCACAGCCATATTCCCATTATAGCCATGAAACTCCGCTCCCTAAAAAAGGACGCCTTCGCTTGGGAACGCTGTGCAAATAGCGAAGGCTCACACTTCATGCGCACCAAAAAAGCAACTCAAAGCCCTAAGGCTCAGGGTTCCCTAAGCAAGAAGGCTGTTGGATGTGTCGCGTGTGAAGAACTGTTTTGCCCTGGTGCTTGCTTTTCCCTTTGGCTTCCCTCAACCAACCCAACCCCCAAAAAAACCTCTCCCCAACCAAAAAAACACAATCCCCCCAAAAAAAATATCCCAGCCCTAAACAAACCCCCCCCACCTCAAAACACGCCGACACCGCCTCGAAGCCGCGAAGCGGCTCCGCTCCAAGGCCCCGGCTCCAGCTTGTCGATGCGCCCGAAGATGTTGCCCTGAGCGCTGAGGGGTCCGCTCGAAACGGAACCCGGCGGCCTGTTTGGAGCTGGAAAGCACTGAGACGCGAAAGAAAGAGCTAAGCAAGATATGAGCCAAAACGACTTTTTGGGGGGAGAATTTAGGTTCTTTTCGAGAAGGGATAAGAAGAGTGAGTGAAGAATGAGGGAAAGAACATGGGAAGCAATCCTTTCCAACAGATTGACACTAGGAACCTTGCAAGGGACCACCAATATTTTGGCTTCCCCTGCTTCCTTAACCACCAAAAAAACACTTGAAATTACCATGGAACCGAAAAGACCTTCATTTTAGAGGCAAAGGAATCTCCGGTTTTGGGCGAGACTCTTTTTGGGTCTAGATTTGAACCCGGGCCTGAAATAAAACTCTTTTGTTGGGCCCAGTGAAAGGCAAGCCACAGCCAGCCCCTGGAAACCGTCCATGAAGAAAGGCTGCAATGTAAAAAGTTGTTGGTAACCCAACGTTTGTTGGCAGCTGGAAGCACTGGAAGCAACTGGAAGCACTGGAAGCACTGGAAGCACTGGCTCCATTGGTCTCGGCAAATGAACACCCTCCCACGGATCCCACGTGAGGGAGGCATAGACCGCAATCCTCTTCAACTCCTCTCGCTTCTGCTCTGTCACAAAAACTATCGCATCCAACTCAAAGCCATGGCTCTGGGAAAATGACCCATCCCCGGCTTGACAAGAAAAAAAAAAAGAGGACATGTTCTGGTTGGTTTAGAGGCAAAGGAAAAAAAGGAAGAAGAAAAAAAAGGTACCTTTTTTTCTGGTTGGCTTAGAGGGAAGCCGGAAGGAAACCAAAAAAAAGAACCACGCAGCCGGTTCCGGGGCTCCCCCATACCACATGGGCGCCATTTTTGTTCCCCGCCTGCATCGTCTTCACCGCGGTGACCGGCTGCCCGCTCTCCTGGCGACCCACGAGTCAACCTCCCCCCGTTTCTCGGGCGAACCGCCTTGGGAGCGGTGCCCCTGGGAGTGGGGAATTTCATCACGTCTGGCGGGGAACCCTACGAATAGACTGGGGTTGATTCATCTGGGGTCAACATTGCACCACCCTTTCTCGGTGGCCTTCTGCACCCCTGCGAAAAGCTTGACCTACCTTTGGTGGGCTTAATACGGAAGCCCCTAAAAGTGGGCAAAAAGCTATTCAGTCCTAGCATCCCTTTGCAAAATGCACCAAAGGAGAGGTGTCCGCCCCAAAACACTGGGTCAAGAACCTGCAAAATGTCATCTTGCTGCTTCTCAGTGAGAATCGCCCGGTTTTTGCTTTTGGACATGAACCCCGGACTCCCATCTTTCTGACCAGGGATGGTTCCGTGCTTCCCTCATTCCTGAGCTCACAAGTTGCATCCGACGGGTTACTAAGGCAGGAGCCTTCATGGAGTGCCTCCCATTGTCCACATACGTTTGCCTCGAGATTCGACATATCCAAGAAACCTGCACCTTCCGGTTTACCTGAGTGGGCCAAAAAAAGGAAAATGCCGACGAGTTACTAGAGTCTCGTGGCTTGCCTGGGATCCGTGGGGTAGGATGCATCATCATCATCATCATCATCATCATCATCATCATCATCATCATCATCATCATCATCATCATCATCATCATCCTCATCATCTCCTCATCATCATCACCACCACCACCACCGTCATTCTCACAGTAAAGGGCAAAGATAGATGCTGCCAAAGATTGAGCCAGCTTTGGTTTGGGGTAGGCTTAAAGTTGGTCAGGGCGGGCTTTGCGTTAGGATTGGTGTATGTCGAGTGATGCATCGCTGGTGCCCTTTGCAAGGGGTAGATTCCCTTTACCCGCAATCGCATGATCTTTGTTGGCAACGGGACCATTTCTCAGGGACGCAACCGACCACAATCATGCCCCCCACCGCAAAGAGACCCACGGTTTGGGGGCTAATAGCATTAAGCCGAAACCAAATGATAGGGGCAATGCTCGGGTTTCGCGAGGGGTGGGTAGGGGTGATGCGGAAGTGGGGGGGTGCCATTGGCATTTCAAGCAGATGCATGGTACACTCCTGGCTTCAAAGGTGGAAGATCGTAAGATGGAAGATGACAGCTTCATGGCGGACCTTGTCATTTACCTGGGGATTTTATGTGGGGATGCCCCACAAAAGGAACTTCATGGGCGAGCTCGTTCATCCGGGTGCTGGCCCGGCTCTATGTCCCCAACCCTTTTTGATTCATAGCCATGTGGCTCTGTCTCCAAGCAAGACATGAAACCCGAACTTCTCAAATCAGGGTTTGTAGGGATTACAAAATTGACACACGACCGTGTCAATCGAAACAAGTTGGACCCTTTTGGCACATAAAACCCCATGTAGGTTGGGTGGGCTCGTTTTCGCCAGACCCTGCTCAAGAACCTAAGGCCCTTCTGCGGGGTACACAGCAAATAACATCTCTTCCCGGAGAAAAGAAACAAAAGCGACATACCATTTTAGGAGGAGACCCCCCGTGTTTCGCTTGGGTTTGAGAGACCCAAACCATTTTGCGGCTTGGGCTGTTTCTCGCTGGTGCGATAGGCAGGGAATGAGAAATCAAATAACCCCAAGATAAACCATCCAACTGGTGGTTTCCTTTATTCGGGAATCCAACCACATGGCTGTGGCACATTCCCTGCCCTCCCCACCACCCCTACCCTCCCCACCATCCCCCCTCCCCACCCCATCGCACCCAGCAGCTGGTCTTCGGGGGGAATGGAACCTATCCCTCGTGAGGCTCTCCGAAGCGCCTCCTTCAGCTCGGACTTGAACTTCCGGATCACCTCCACGGCGCGCCGGGAGCCCAGCAGCAGGGGGATGGTGGAGTCCTCCCGGCGAAGACTTCCGGCGGCGCGTCTTTGGCTTTTGGCGTTTGGCGTGGCTTGGTCTGGGGGGTTTGTCAAAACCCGATGGCGTGTGGAGCTGAACTGCACCTAGGTCCTCCAGATTTGAGAGGTTAGAATAAGTTGGTACCCGACCTTTTTGGCGGTTTCGTCGTTTTTACTCGGGAAACCCTCCCCCGAAGAAGGGAAGAAGTTGGCGCCTAGCTGGGGCACCCAGGCACCTTCAAGTTCCCTTGTGTTGGATTTGGATTCGGATTTGGATTTGGATCACCTGCTCTCGGACGCCACTCTGGAACACCTCCACCAATCCAAACCACCAGTTAGATGGAAGCCAAGGTTTGGTGGCTCGAGGGGCTGGGGCTTCAATTACCCCAAAGGTTTGGAGGGTACATGCCTCAACAGGTTCGGTGGCTTTTGGTGGTTGGAAGGGGCTTCAAACTCCACCACCACCCTACACGACTCGTTTGATTCGCTTGCACCATAGAACCTGTTTGCGTAGACTGACCCTACAGTGAGTAACAGCCAGTCAGCATACTCAACCTCGTGGAGATTTTGCCAGTAAATGAGTGCGCCACAATTGGGGCAAGCCATGTGCTAACTAATTGTTTCCCACACCAAGCTTTCAGCTTGTGCCAAATATGTCTTGTGTGTTGTGCAGTCGGACCCTATCGAAGCTAAGCCTGGCAGGGGGCCCCTACAGTAAACGGCTTTCACTGTTCAAGGGGTCACCCAACAAATGACCGGGGATGGGAAGGGGGGTGGGTTGGAACACCAATCAATACCTGGGGGTGAAGGAGTCAACACAAAGCTGGCGAAGAATCACGTTTGGTCCCAAGCCACGAATGACCAGAGCTTCGAGAACCGGTGTGAAACGCAACGGAAGAGCCACTATGGCAACTAGCCCAGGGACAAGAAGACGTTTCCCACAATTCTTCCCAGTGTCATTTTGAGGTGTCCCTTCCTGCAGATTTTGCTTTCACAGGCTTGTGGAAACTTTGGCAGGGTCCATATCCCAAACCCGATTTCCCTGTAGTCGATTACGATTACCCCCAAAGGAACCAACTTAAAACCAACTTGTGAGGGAGACAAGCCGGGGCTCAAGGTAAGAGCCGGTCACAAAGGAGATGGAAAAGTTCAGATCTCTGACACGGAGGTCCGATTCTAGTGAAAGCGGTGAGACCAAACCCTTCATTCTCAATGCTGACCCCTGATGTCAAACCTTCCTCAACACATTCCCTCTGTGAGAATTGAATCCAACCAGAGGGATAAATTGAGACTATTTCGTCGGAAAGTCTGCTTAAGGTGGCAACGCATTGTCCAAGGAATGCTATTCCACCAAACAAAGGTTCGTAAAGCAAACGGCTGGCTACCCCTTGGCTTTGGTTGTCAGCCGATGGTTTTGGCGCCCTGCTTGGCGCGGCGAATGGTTTGGGTACAAACGTGTCTTTGTTTCTTCTGCACCTCCCAGCTGCCCTCCTGGGTTTACCCCACAGCCAAACCATGCGGCCATTGGTTGAAAACCTGGATAGGCAACATTAATGTCATTGGCATGCATCATTGCGAGTGGAGCATCCCCCACTTAGTATGCATTCCCGGCAGCTGGCCATGTGCAATGCGCACTAGCCCCACACCACTCTAGTGGGACCCAGCAGAAACCTGGACCGGGGATTCCCTAGAAAGTGACCCGAAAAACCAAACCCGTCTCCTCGTCCATGAGCCGTTGGAGCTGCGCGCGGCTGATCTCCTGGCCGGAAAAAAAAATGAGCGCGACATGAGCGCGACAAAAATCCCTCTTGACACCAAACGTGGGCAACCCCCCGCCAGCATCTGGTTCTTAAAATGTCCCCGTTATATCATTATATCAAGTTGCACCAACATAAAAGAAAAACCATGACTCTGAATCTACGTGCTGCCCCCTGGATCCCTCCGCAGAGGCCCAGCGGCCAGGCGCGGCCTCTGAAGAACCAAGCAAAAACTGCCAACCAACCAACGGCCTGGATCATGACCGAGTTGGGCACCTCGTAGAGCGCCAAGGGCCTCGAGCTGCCAGCCAGCCAGTCGAGCCACTTCGCGCACGTCTGGGGGGCCGTCCCTTCAGCTAAGCCTTCTTTCCAGAAATCCTTTCCAACCAGCAAACACCCAAGGCCACATGGGAGGGCCCCTGAACAAAAGATGCTGGAAAAGAATGGGGAGCCAAATTCGCAGAGCACTGCATGACTTCCTTTGGAAAAGAGCGCATTTCTGCCAAATGAATTGGAGCCCTGGCAGTTGGTGTTCTGTTGGTTTCCCGTTGAACCATCCCCAGATCTTCCGTTTACAGTGTAGGGGTACCTCAAAGCAAGACACGAGCAAGACACTAGAACTCACTGAAGAGAGTTCACCCTGCAAACAAAATGTCAAAAACAAATGGAGAAATTGTCAACACGCGCTCCTACAGATTCGCGTGGACCCAAGACAACGGGTTTGTTCGAGGAATCTCCGTTTGAAGCAAAGGACTCCGCTCGTAGGTTCCATGCTAATCCGCAGTGGAGCATCCATGATGAAGGTCCTGCCTGAAAAAATTGACACGCATCAGCGGCCCTTTTGGCTGGGGAAGTACGGGAAAGCCCCGGACGTGTGTACCTTTTTAAGGGTCAAATCTCCCGCCAGATCCTCTTGGGCTGGGCCCCAAGGCACGCTGGTGGGGGACATGCCATGAGCGCCTCCGTCTAAACGTCTGTCTAAGGGTATGCCTGGAACCGACAACAATATGGGCGGTATGTCCATGTGGCGTCCCTTCAACATCAAGCAACACAGGGTGGTCCTAAAAAGCTTAAGGTGCAATAGCCCTGTACACTAATGTTAACCAAGTAAATTTGGCCTATACAACCACTTAGTGAGTAGTTCTAGCCATTTCGCTAAGGGGCGTATGCGCTCCAGAAAAGGCTCCATTTCTGATTTGGGGGCACAATCCACACGGAGAGATCAACAGTTCTCATTGGTTGGGGCATTTGACCCCCTTTTTTGCCAAAACAAGAAGCAGCCAACCTTCAAACGAATCCAACCAGATGGGCTTGTCTGAAAATAGACCCTCGTACGGACAACTCCAAACAAGGCGAAGACAGCAACCAGGGCGGAGCCCTGTTTCCCCTTAAGACCCCTTGGCTTTTTTGGTCGAACCCCCGGGTTCTCACCTGCAGGGCTCCCTGTGTCCCCTTAAACCCCCTGCTTGGTTATGTGGAACCCCCGGTTGACCCCGGTTGACTCGTAAAAGCCCGGCCCAGCGGCCCCGCTTTTTTTTTCCCCCCCGCGACGCGCGGCTTGTGCTCCGCCGGCGCGGCCATCTGGTCCAAGACGTCCGACTGGGTGCTGGGCAGCATCCAGTCCTGAGCTTCACGGAGCGTGCGGTTTCTGAGGGTAGCCTTTGGGGTGGGTTTTGGTTGGGAAGCCAACCTGGAGTCTTTGTCTTTGGGGTCACACAAACACATGGGGTCATGATTTCGACCATTTCTTTGGTGCATTTTGCCAAGGGATGTTAGGACTTTACATAACTTTTTGCCAACGTTTAGGGGTTTTCCGTATTAAACCACTAAAGGTTTGTCACTTTTAGCAGGGGAGCAGAAAGCAACCGAGGAGCGTGTGGTTTTTGAGGGTAGCCTTTGGGGTGGCCTTTCGGGTGGGTTTTGTTGGGAAGCCAACCCATTTTCCGGGAAGGGGGAGGGAGCTGGCGCGAGAAAATGACGGAAGGCTGAAAGCCAATGAGTGCCAAATGCCAAAGGATGTCAGACCTGAGTCCTCTTTGAATACGAAAGGGGTTTACCCGCCGCTTTGGCTTAGAAAACCCGGCCGGCACTGACAGAGCCCAAGGGAAATGCCCGACAGAACCAAACAATACAACAAACAGAGTCAAATTTATCGCACATAAATGGGCCTGGTTTTAACAGGGTTGCCCCCACAATCCCTACCAAAAGGAGACTCACTTGTAATTGGCACGAAAGTCGATGTGTAAGAACAGCAACAGCGGAAGTAATCGGAAGTATAGAGAACCCCATTGTGAGACTGGTGTTTGGGAGGGGGATGATCAAAGATCGCCAGGGGTTTACTCCCAGAGTTCAATTCCCAAAAGAGACTCCTGTGCAATGGGCCCTCCCCCAGAGTTATTGTAAAGGGTTCAAATAACGGGGGTCGAGCAAACCGGCCCCACTCGCGAGCGCCCGAGAACTCTATGGAAGAGGGGCCGTCAGCATCTGGTCCGCCTGCTTCTTGGACTGGGACCGGTCAATGTCCTGCGAGGCTCGAAACCCACGCACTGCACGCCGCAGCGCTAGGTTTTCTCGATTGCGCCGATCTATGTGTGCTTTTTGGGTTGGGTGGAATGGTCCAAGTGGCCTTTTTGGGGCTGCTTCGAGCTTTGTCTCCAGAATTTCAGGAATCTTGCGCGCAAATTCTTGATGTCCTGAGTAGGACAATGTCCAGTGGCAACCAACATGGCGTCTCCATAAGGAACCTGGTAGAATGAAGGTTGGAGGCACCTGTTCCCCAGCGCCAAATTCGGGGGTGGGTCTTCCGGATGGCATCCACATGGGAATCCAGGTAACTTAATAGACCCTCGAGTTGTCTGATTCGCCGGCAAACAACAGTCCCAACTCAACTAACCAAGGATCGTCCTTGCGTACAACTGCTGTTGCGTGCAACGTTAACATCGCGGGGCTTCGGGTGTTTCTTGTTATGTGGTTGTTGAGGGAACCCTCTTCCTTAGGATTCTGTTGTTTAATCGGTTTTCGAGGCAGGCCAAAAACAAGCCCATTTTGAAACGCCCACCTGGCCATTAAGCCAACGAATCGTAACAGGGAATCTGTCAGTAGCGGTTGGACAAAAACCATCCCCCACACAAATCATATCCTAAGCAAAACTTAAAGCAGGAGATGGTTGCCAAAACTCCTGACGGCAAACAGCGATTTGGCCATGGGTCAAAATCCCGCACCCCCAGTCAACATCACAATCCCCACTAAATTAGGCTCTAAAACGGGTGGTGCACCTACCCCAAAATGGGATCCCATTGGTTTTGACCCACAGCCATTTGGCTCCTCTGGAAAGAGGTCCATGCCCGCAAAGTTCTCATCCGCTACCCGCTGCATCCTGCGTGAATTTCCGCGACTGTACCTTGAGTCCTTGTTACCGGGTCCAGCAAAGTGACATCCTCGAAACTACTGCCTGAACATCAAGTGCAGTGGTCCACAGACTGACGATATGGTGAGAAATGAAACTGCTCACGTTCAGGAATGCAGCTTTTGGGCAGAAGGCAGAAGGACGCCCAACGGCCAAAACTCATTCCCCTCTTCCCCGTTGAGGAAAATACATGTGTTGAGCTAATGCCTATCTTTCGCAGAAAATAAACGGACCACCTATGTTGTTTGGGAGAAAACCAAACCGGACCCGCAAAAGTGTAGGGATCGGGAAAACCAAGTTGGACCCCCCAAGTGTGAAGAATTCCTATTTGGCCAAGCCCGTGTTAAGAGCTCACTTAGGTCTTCTTCATCATTCGATTCTAACCTGCCCATTCCGCTCACCCCCAACGAACCCCCTTGTTCTCCCCCAAAAACCAGGGGTTGTAGGTGACGTGGCATCTGTGGCTGAGGTGTTGGGCGCATCTGCGGGTTTGACCAACTTGTGAGATGGCTTTTTTGGCACGTCCATGGCCCGTGAAGAACCAACCACTAACAATGCTCGGATGGATCCAGGCGATGGCTGATGTTGGGCCTGGAGCTGTTGCTGGCTGCTTCCAGCTGTCCAAACTCATGGGCGACTTGTCCAGACTCATGGGCCACTTTGTCCCGCCAAGTATCAAGGTGTAGATTTGCCCCCTGGAGCTGCAAATTGCGTTGGTCCAGCAAAAGCACTGCACACATGCGAGCTGTCGGTGTGGTTTTGGGGTGTGTCCTAGGAGCCTTGTTTTGCCTCCAAACAACTCCCCCTGACCTGCTGCCACCGGGCAGGCATGGGCCCCATGCTCTTGTTGCAGGGCTGGCTCAAGCCTCTCAAGCTCTTGTGGCGCTCCCGGCTTGGCGAACACCTCCCCCCCCTTCGCCGGCCTCCGCTTCTTCTCCACCCACTTTCTCCGGACCAGGCCCGGCAGCAGGTCCAGGGTGATGGAGAGATCCTTGCGGAAGCCACCCACAGGCCCCAAAGAATGAGAACAGACATCTCATGTGGACCGAAAGGGGAAACGCTTGCTTGACTTTGCTTTTCAGTACGAATACAAACTGTGAAAACATCCCGAATCCCACACCGGTCCTCTCTACTTCTCTCCAGGTCCAGTACTTACAAACACCCGGACCAGTTGCCGTGGAGAGAAAGGGGGCACCCATGCACCCTTTTTGGCGGGCGTTGTTGCAAGGAATCCTCCAGTGCCACTGGAGCTCTGGGAATCAACTGACTTCAGATGACCCTCCCAAAGGTCTCATCTGGTTGATGCTTTTTTGCTGAACTGCAAGGGATGGAGAATGTATGCACACACATTCTAAATTGAGTATGTGTTAATATGATTCATGAGTGTCTGTGCTTCACGTCCCTCCCTCCCCCGCCCCCCCCCATTCATCCACCTGGTTCCGTCAATCCCATCGGTGCCGCGCCTTCGGGTTCATGTGCTCCTCCGACTCATCCTCCACCAGACTCTGGCCCTTCATCCAGTTCCAATAGGTGTGCAAGAACACCTCACGGTCAGCTCCCAGAAACGACCCCCCCGTCTTCTCCTGCAAACCGGTACTTGAAAATGGAAATCCAAGAGAAACCAAAAAAAAAACACGCAAGAGCAGCTAGGGATGCTCGGCGAATCGATCGATCGGAACTTGCTTCCAGGGGAAGCAAAACCAGGCGCGTGCGGGACGCTAAAGGTGGGCTCAAGAAAAAAAAGCCCCCAACACAAAGAGTACTCTTTAGACGGCATCCCAAAACATGTAGGTTTCCCACATTTGGCCCACCGTTTCCACCAAATTGTGGTCACCTATGCCGCGCCTCAGTCAGTGTGATTCCGAAGGCGTTTGCCGGGCCATGGTCCAAATCTCCATCACCCCGCACATTTGGGTGTTTCTCAAAATAGGGGTTTGGATTATCTTTGCATACCAAGCAACACAGGGTCCACCAATTTGAGAAACTTACACTTGGAGAGTCCCCTGCTTGCTGGAAATCTAGACAGCCCCCCACTTCCCGAAAAGGACCATTGCTACGCGGATATTTTGCTCCAACCTCGGCGGTCGGCTTCCCTCAAAAAAGGCCCAAGCTGCAATCATAGACTTGCCAACAAAACAAAGAAGCACCCTTGTTTCTTGAACCACCCTCCCTTTGGTTCCCCGTTTGGAGTCGCTGCAGAACTCGGTTGCTTTCTGCTCCCCTGCTAAAAGTGGCTAACCTTTGGTGGTTCAAGGGAAAACCCATTAGTTGGCAAAAAGTGTTTCAGTCCTAACATCCCTTGGCAAAATGCACCAAAGAGAAGCTTCTTTGAACCAAAACAAAAACCACCCTTGTTTTTTCAACCACCCTCCCTTTGGCTCCCCGTTTTGGAGTGTCTTTTTCCGGGGGGGTGTCTCAAAGAACGAACCGTCCCTGCTTCTTCTTTTTTTTCTCGGCGCGCCGAGGAGCGATCATGGGGTTCTTCTTGTCCGCCTGCACCGCGTAGAGCCTCGAGGCCAGGGAGAAGGTGTCCAGCACGATGGCCACGAAGATGTTCAGCAGAACGAAGTAGATCAACGCCTGAGAGCCACGACCCAACGACCCAGGAACATGAACCACTTCAGAGAAACCCAACAGAAAGCCGGAAAAAGGAATTGGTGCCCACCTACCCACCAAAACAGAGCCGAAAAAAGCACTCGGTGTCCTAGGTGTCCTTTTAGGGGAAATAGATGGATATCCCTAGTAGATGATGAAACCACCAGGTAAACCAGGAATCGCCATCGATTTTTTGACCAAAACAACCAAAAAGGACACCTATGATCGGTGTCCACCTACCCCCGCAAAAACCACGACCCGGGATCATGAACCACTTCAGAGACCAAAAGAACGCACAGGAGAACAGAGGACTGCGGGTTTAAACTGCCCCCCCAAAACCCACCCAGGAACGTGAACCACTTCAAACCACTTGCTAAGGGTTTGAGCTTGAACCTCTTTAGAGATATGGAAAAGAAGGCGGAGGGGGGGCGAAGGGTTCCCAAAAGGGAGGGGGGTGGGTACTCTCAAACCAAAATGACCAAAGTCCCGGCAAACTACGGGGATTCGGTCGCCCAACCACGTGGAGCTATCAGAAATCAGGACATACGTATTGCCACCTGAAATTATTCCCAAGGAAGGAATCTCCCCCAAAGTTCCGACACTTGGAGAGAAGAAGCGAGAACGAATGCCCGACACGTCGGGCCCACCGAGCCCATGCCGAGTCCCGGGCAATGTATCCAAGGAAGATCATGGTGGTCAGCTGGTCCTGCGTTCGCTCAACACAGCCAGTGGCCCAATCAAGGGAGAACGAAACACGCGCCTGACGTGCCCCAATCATGTATCATTTGAACTTGGGGATGCATCATATAAGTGGACATATTCTATCCACACAATATTCTAAGGCTATACTTGGGGCACCTACTCCAGGGGCATGTAATATGTCCCCTGCCAAGGCCGCAACCAACAAACCTTTAGGGTTAACCCCCATCCCTCAATGGAAGCCCTGGAGCATCCCGAAATCACCCGAGGTGATGCGTGCTACCCTCCACGGAAATCTGAAGGGGTCAACCGTGGGTTTCCCCAGCGCCAAACGAACGCGGCGAGCGAAGAAACGAGGCGCCAAACGAACGCCGCGAGCGAAGAAACGAGGCGCCAAACGAACGCCGCGAGCCTTGCCGGGCCGGAACCACTCGATGTCTATGGAGTACCCGTCGATGAGCAGGAAGAAGAGCACCTGGCGACGCGGAATATTCGGGCGGACGGAAGGTGCACCCCATTTGGAGGAGCGGTTTGAAGGACAAAATCATGCAGTTTCATCTTCACTCCACGGAGGCTTCACCCTAGGGCGGTTGGCCCCTCCCCACGTCCCCATTGGCGCCAGGAAGGAGCCAGGGATCGTCACAAAGTTCTTGTCCGTGGTGCCCAGGCCGATCCTCGAGCCATTTGGTACCCTTCCAAGCCCCGGCCGAAGCTCCCCGCCTCCGGCTTGGCTTTTCTAGGATTCCAAAATGTTTCCACCCCCGAACCAGGCTTACCCTTCCCATCTGACGGCCAAGGGGGTCAGGACCCTTTGCTGGGTTCCATGTTGGGAGGGATTGCCCCTCAGAGCTCCAAGAGCATCACAAGTGATACCCTTCCCACAGGCAGTACCTGAAAGATCAATTCTCAAGCACCCGAACATGAGAGGGTAAGGGTAACTTATCTTTTTTTTGAAGGCAACTGCCCTGGGACCCCTTTCAACAAATTTGTAGGTTTTCCCGTCCTGGCATCAAGGGTTGCTCCGGGCCAGCAATGCAGTCTCCGTCATTCTCGCGCATGTGGGGCGGTTTCGGTGTCATTTTTAAGGGACCCCCCAAACTGCATTCCCTTTAAAACCACATCAAAACAGGTACCCCCAGACGAGTGCGGTTGTTGGCTAGGGAGTTTGCCTTGGGTGCGTTTTGGCCTACCGGTTCCCATGGGACGGCGCCGGTTTCTTGCCCCTGTGAAACCAAGGGGAGGCTTGAGCCACAACTGGCCGTCCGCTCGCTCCATCAGTTTCCCCCTTTAAACCAACCGAAAGCTTTCCAGGGTTAGAAACCAACCATCCATGCTTCAAACAAACCAAGGGTTGGCAAGGGAAAGGACATGCGTTGGTTTCTAGCCCTTTCCCTTGGAGGCTTTCCCGTGCCAAACCCCCCCCCCAGGGCCTGAAGGATGGCGTAAGCCGCCCGCGCCAAGCCAACAGGCTTCCCCAAAGGTTCCCCTTAAAATATGATTCCCAAGGGCAAAAAGGGTGATGTGTAAAAACACCACAAGCTTAGGAATAGAGATCATCAGGACCCCATTTGCAGAAAGCCGCAAAAAAAATGCCTCGCAAAAAGTGCCTTGGTTTCTCCAAAACGCCGAGCCGACTTCGCCGCGCCGACTTCGTTTCGCCGAAGCCACGAAAAGGCCACGGCGAAGCCGAAGAAGACCACCAGCAGCAGGGCCGCGAAGATGATCAGCCTGGCGGCGCGCTGAAGCGAATTCCAAAATCGAACGGGACAAATGTCCGGAACTGCTTGACCCCCTACGCCCCCATCCCCCCCCCTCCCCCCTCCCCCCCCCACCCCTCTACCCCCATCCCCGAAAGAAAGGCTTACCAAGGACCAGACTTGGATTGAACCCGAAAGAGGGTGAATCACCTGCCCAAGAGGAACAAAAGCTCTTGAAAACCACAAGCGGGTTGCTTCACCGTTTTGAGACCCAAAAAGGGGGTCAACCTTGGCACAGGGGGGTTAGCCTGCTGAAAGATGGGCTAACAAAGACCCAAGGTCGTGGGTTTTCGTTGGCCGCATTAGAGGTCTGGGTAGGCCCAAATCTGAGTGGGCCCTTCTTAATAAGGCGTCCGAGTTTAATGACCTGAGCCATGTAAAGAACAAAACGGCCGCACCCATTTTTGGTTGAGAGTGTCCCCCGACTAACCTTCATCTGGCCGGGTGTTGATTGTGGCTCAAGGCCACGCGCAACAACGAACTCATTCGATTTCGCTCGCGCGAGTGCATTGGGAGCACCGCTTCTTCGAAAGCATCCCCAGCTGCATCCCAGGGTCCCAACTCGCATGCTTCAAACTTTGACACCCTCCACAATCGTGCTGGGAAAAATGCCCATGACGCTGGAAAGAGTATTTTCTCAAAATGGGGGGGTGCATCCTGTTCTGTTAAGGAGCTTCAACAAACTAAGCTCCTGGGTTTGAGTTGTAATGGAAGGCCTTTTGAGAATAGTTGGCGTCCCTTTACAACAGCCAAAGCAAGGCCAACAGCACCCCGCAACCTCCCTAGCACCCTCGTAAAAAGTCACCTTAAGTTCCTTTCGTCTAAAAGGATTCCAAGTCAAAAAGAAACCGAACGGACACAAATACGCTTCCTCCCACTAACATGGCACCTGTAAATCGGTACCTGGAAGATCGATTTCCTCTTAAGGAACCCCCAGCCCTGGCAGCTGCCAGGGTGGGAGGGAGTGCCTTGGGCCAACAACCTCCCGATTCCGATTTTCCGAGTCCGCCTGGCGGCGCAGGACTCCAGGATTCTGACCAGCAGCCGGAAGTAGCTGCTCATGCAGAGGTACTTGAACCTCGGAACGAAATCCACCGCGATACCAACAAAAAAGCACTTGCCCAAGAAAAATCCCAAACACTAAAAAAAGGCTACAAAAGAAGCCTAAGCCCCCCTGTGTAAGGGGAACTAAATCCACTTCTGCGATACAAACAAACCAAAAACTTTCCCAACACTAAGCCCACATAAAAGGGGGAACCAGGGCGTGGGAAATGGAATCCGCTTCTGGATACAACAAAAAGGTTTCTCCAAGACTAAGCCCCCCTGCTTTAGGGGGAAGATTCCCAAAAGTATCACAGAAGTGGAGATACACCCCCTTGATCCCTGCTCGGAACATTCTGATGGGTGCTCAATGCACTTTGGATACAAGAAGGGCGCAGTTTCGCTTAGATGGGTCTAACTATAACCGAATCCATGCCGTGCAGCTGGCATGGATGAAGCCCCTTGAATACCAGGCTATACTACCAAGGCCCACAGGTGCAGATGTTTGTCCATCCAAAGTGCCACCTAAGCCATATAAAGAAATGTACGAGCCCATATATACACCTCTATATACAACTAAATTGTTGGTTTAGCCGTTGGCTGGATTAAGTCTGGGAAACTAGTCACCCAGAGCCTCTGACATATACGTATATATTTACACGTACATATACATGTTACATGTCTATCTTATATGTATATATATATATATATGTTCTTGTACAAATTCGCTCCCTTCCTCCCAGAAGGCACTTGTGAAAGGACACCTGGCAGATCAATTGCCGTCCTAGAGCAAGGGAGTGTGTGTGTGTGTGTTTGTGTTTGTGCGTCAATGTTTATATTTGATAATAATCACACGAAGAAGAAGCAGAAGATGGATGATGATGATCATATCCATGGCCACCCCGACGTCAAATCACCGAACTGGGCCAGCATGTCCAGTTGAGCCACTCGAAATTAGGAGAATGGCACGTGGCTCATGGCGCTTTTCTGGGCCACCCTGCCACCCTTTGCGGTCAGTCCAAATGAGCCTTCGGTCAAATTTACCTGATTTGTCCATGGTCGATTTGGGAGGGACATAAAGGACAAGGTCGCAAACACCAGGGGACCCACTCAGTTTCCCGAGGCCAAAGCAAAACACCCTCACCTCAGCTGGTTCAAGCAATCCTCAGGCCCAAGGGGCAACTTCACCCAGCAGGTGATCGACAACAGCGCCAGCAAGTTGTTGCCTCAACCAAAAACAAATCGGCGGGATCGGCTCCTGGACGGCGTCCGGGCGATTGAATTTTGTGTGGGAACAAGCCCGCCATGACGTTGAGGTCCTTTCTTGCCATCAAGATTTGAGGCTTTGGATTTGTCCCGGCTTTTGGGATTGGGCGAGGGCAATTGATTACACCCCCAGTTTGAACCATGAAAAGCTATCCCAGATCACTTGCCCGCAAAGGAAACTAAGCGCCCCCCCCTCTAACAACCGCAAATCCGCCGACGCTACACGCTCGATGGCAGTCCGGTCTTTCGTGCTAAAAATCTGTGTTTCGCCTATTCCCAGCATCATCCAGATTATCTTGTTGCCATGAATGTGTCTCTTTTCTTTGCAGATACTAGTGGCGTTTTGCAGGCAGTTTCAAGCGATGTTGAAATTGGCCTGTTAGGGGTTTGCGTGGGACCAAGTGCAGTGATACTTTGAGGAACTGTTAAAATTTGCAAAATTGCAAGTCCCCACCCTTTACGGAGCAGTTACTGCGAAACATCCCCTGCATTATCGTGCTTTTGGCAGTCTATTTTCAGGGTATTTGATGGGGGTTGCTAGTATCGGTTTTTGGTGGTTGCTTTTAGGAAATATCGAAAAACCCTGGTTTTTTTGCGCTTTTTTGTGGCTAGCCGGCTGCAATCCCAGCCCCACATCTCTGGTATTTTCTGTGCTGGTCAATGTTGCGTGTCTGAAAGTCTTAAAATCTTGAGCGCGAAGATTGGGTCTGTTCCTGTAAGTTGTGTGGTTGCATCCCTTGCATTTCCAGCATCCTCGGCATCTGGGACATGAAAAACAGGAAAGTGCCAAGAAGGCCTTGTTGTACTTACAACAAAAAATGGGGCCTTGCTTTTATACCCTTTCGGGGGGTGGTTTAAAGGGTAGACCCTGGTGTTCTTCTCCAGTGCTGGCTCCAGATTGATCAGCCCCAGTTTATGAATAGGGGACCGTCCACTGACGTCGGCGAATCGCGTAGCGATTTCAAGAAAAATGAAAATCCGCAAACAAAGGGAGCAACTAGGGTACCCTGCAAAACTCCGGCAAATATGGGGCAATGAAGGGAAACCAGTCACTTCCATATTGGGCAATGAAGGGAAACCAGTCACTTCCTTTCCCCAAAGTGGTGGGCTTCGGGGTCCGACCCCAACTCTACCGGCACAAAGCAGGGATCCACAGCACAGCGACATGTCCGTCCGTCCGTAACTCCCTCTACGCGCTCTTCAACCCCAGAACGTCAGCGCGCATGAGCGGTCAACACTAGGAATATATTCCTCCAGGATATGGGGAAATGGGGCTCGTCACTTTTGTTCGCTGTGCCTCAAACGAGCCACACCCATTTTGGTTCTAAATGACTTACCACTCTATTTGTTAAGTTGGCACTCTTGGAACCTGTGTCTTGATTCGCGCGTTTAGGTCAGAGTTCCTTTGAGCACGCAATTCGGCTTCAATGGTTCTCTATAGGCCTCACTACAACCCGAATCAGACCAGATAGACCCACCTTCCAAGTTGGCCCATGGGGGTGTTGGGCTCTCTTCATATAAACCCTTGTCACTGGGGGCGGCTAAATCTACAAAATAAAAGCATCTCGAAACCAGGTGGATCAAAAAATAGCCGGAAAAAAATAAATAGAAAAAGAACAAAAAAACAGCCCGTTGAAACCAAGGGGATGACATGACCATTGGCTATGAGGACAAACAAACCCATTCCGCGCGTCTGGGACCTCGGGCCCAGGACCAAAGGCTCCATGAGCTGCCCAAAGGGCCTCAGGGCGGTGGAAAAACCGCTGGGGTGGACTTTGACCGGGCAAAAAAAAATTGGCTGTGGGTCAAAATCCAATTCGGGTTAGCCCCCCAGTGAACATCCCAATCCAACCACTAAAATAGGTTCGAAAATGGGTGGTGAATTCACCTCCCCAAAATGGTGTTTTGACGCACAGCCCTTTCTGAAAGTGTCTCTGGGCTTTTTTGCACCAAGCCATTGCCAGGCGGTGAGTGTCAAAGTCTTGGGATTTGTTTGGTCACCGCCTGCTCAGCGAGGACTCAGAATGGTAAGTAGATATGCGGTATACGTGGTCTCATCAGCAAGCTCTTCAACTGAAACGGAAGCGTTGATTCAACTAGGTATCTCATGTCCCGGCACTCTGGCTTGAAGTTGGTCCTTCAGGCAAGCATCAGGCAGTTGCGAAGCTATTGGAGACGACAAGGGGCCATATCTTCCTGTAGGTTTTGACACCGAAAGCGGCTCCAAGGATTGAATGCAACCACACCCAGCAGGCCCAGCTTTGCTTCTTCCAAGGATGATTTTGGGTTCCCCCCCCCCCCATGAATTTGGTGGGCACAGAACCCAACGGTACCCGTCATAATCAACATGTAGGTTGTTCTCGGGGGGTTGGGCGGGGCTCTGTCCCTTGGGTTTGGTTTTTGCAGGACCTCGACCGAAGCTGCCCGACGAGTCGCATGAAAATCTCCGGGTGGCCGATGACCCCGGGCTGCAGCACCTCGCTGTTGCCCACCGCCACGTAGGCGCTGACGCGGAAGCCTCGAAGACCCAGCGAGCGAGCGAGCGACTCGACCGCCGAAGCCTCGCGGACTGGCGCGGAAAAACCCAACAGGCTTACCCCCCCCCCCCGCTTCCCCCAAGGAGATTTCGTTCCGTTAAAAGCGATAATGGGTGTTTGGTAGGGGGGATAAACGAGGAGGGAGTTGTTTTCGTCGAGTTGGTTCCCTTTTCATGTTGGCTTAACGGGAAGCCGCCAACCACCATGAGTGAGGGTCATCCTTGTGGGTGTGCTGTTTGGACTGATGTAAAGGGAAGTCGGGAATCCAGGGATTCCTTCACCACCAAGTAGAACTTTGGCCCGCGGAAAAGGGAAAGCAGTAGGATACTCGAAGCCAGGTGTAGAATAGATGGATGAGTTCCACCGCGAAATGGAAAGGAATCGAACTGAAGCCAGCGACATCCGTCTACGGTTGGCACACCAAAGAGCACTTGCGTTGCTGATTTGCGGTGTAATCAACATCAACTAATATTCCGCAGGTGGCCATTGCTCATTTTGGATCTGTCCTTCATCATGTTCAATTCACTACCAGCCGAAAAATCTCAAGTGGTACAACTTTCAATGTGAAAAGCCTTGGGCGGACATCACTGAGTGCATCTCCAACTTTCACTTTGTTTGAGGGTGTTCCACATCAAAACTCACAGCCGGTCCTTTGGTGGCGTGCGAGTGGCCTCTCGCGATGTCTTTCCCTTTGGCCCCAGAACGGCATACCGCCAACAGAAAGCCGCCACAGGTTTAGGTTGCGTTTTGTCCAGCCACTTGTCCATCTTGTTTTGTTGGTCAAAAAGGGTCCATCCCAAAAAGCACTCCTGAGGACAGAAACACCAAAACAGCATCCGAAAACACCCAACCGACCACCCTACCTGGCCTTAGGGGAACAGAACCTCGTATTTTCTCAAGTCGTTAGCCTTTGGCGAACCAGTCTTTTGGTTCCAGCCCGAGGGTGAGGATTCAAACCTGCCCAAAGGAGACGTACCCTTCTTTGCCGGGTTTCTGGAAAGAACCCCCTATTTTTGTTTTGGGGAGGGTACCAGGCGAGCGTATCAAGGCGGCTCCAAAGACCCTCAGCTGTAAACTGGTCCCTAAAAAAGCGAAGCTTGCTGCCCGTGCCAGGTGGCTTGATCTTTCGAGCGTACAGCTGGCAACTTTGCTCCGGATGTTTGTCTCAGGTTTCTCCGTGCCCCTTCTGTCCGCTTGCTTGTTCCCTTGCCTGAAAGTCTCTTTTGATAGAACTAAAAATGAGGTCAGTCACACACTTCGCATCCAATCCGTACGCTGAATAAGACCCAAAGCTGGCTCAAACGAAAGGGCCCGTTCTGCCTCAGGTAAACGTGGTTCAGCGGCAAGGATCAGAGGCTTGGATCAAAGGCAACCGGCAAGGGGTTCAAACAATGAGAATGGGGTTCCGGTGCCCAAGGAAAAGACAGACTTGGCTGTGATCGCAGGAATAGACTCGTTATGGGCAAATTATGGGAATTTCAGCCCAAACTATGGGTATTTCAACCGAATTTGGTGTATTTCAGCCCAACACTTGAGGCCCATGAACCTGGCCCACCCCTTTGGTCCCTACCCAGCGGTCCGATGCCGGAGCCAGCTACCCGGAGCCAGGCCGCCCAGGTGGATGTAGAAGGATCCCAGGATCACCTTGGCTCGCTGGGCCCTGGGATTTGTTCGAAACCACCCACAGGGCCTGCCACTTTTTGAGGTCCCGTACTCCAGGTCGAAGGTCTTCTGGCCGCAAGCTAGGCTATGTGTTCCAAGCGGGAAAAGGAAAAAGAAGAAAACACAGAAGAAGAAAAAAGATCGACCCGGAGAGCGCCACCAAGTTGGCCACCAACTCAGGAGCTTCAATTTGGGGGAAGGGCGCGATGCGCCAGAACTTCGGCGCTTTTACGGAGTCCCTTCCATTTCTGAAAAAGAAAGAAGCATGTCGAAAGCCACACCCCTCTCAAAAGAGGTGGGGGTGGGTTGAATGGTTTGCGCCCTCCTGGTGTTGGGGAACCCCGACCCGCCTGCGAAAAGGATGTCTGTCTCTTCTTTCAACTGCCCGATTTGCCCAGAGTTTGACACTACCAAAGAAAACCCAACACTTGTTTGTATGTTCTACAGGGGAGACCAGCCGTGTGTTTGGGGCTTACCAATTTGATGCAAGGGCGCTTTACCAAACCAGAGGTGGATCCCCGTATCTGGCTGAATGAAGCCCGAGAAACGAAGCAACTCATCACAGGGCCCAACCCGACAGGTGAGGTAGATCGCATCCCAATGCACCTGAACATTGCATCCCAAACATGGCCCCGTTCATTGCCCCAGAGGCCTAGCGGTTTTCTTTTGGCCTAGTCCAAAAGGTAATGATTCACCCCCTGTGTCCAAAAAATAATGCTCAAGATCACCACCCGTCTGCTCTCCAGTTCTTTTGTGGGAAAGTCTACGGGAAAAGCGAGTGTCTGTGCAAACAACTTCTCACCTGAAAACGAGCTCGAGCTCGGTCCACAAGCTCGCTTTGAGCAAAGCCAGCCAGCCGCCGTTACCCCGTCTCCCCTCCTTCTGCACCGCCCGTGTGATCCCGCTCTTTCGGCTTCGAACACCCAAGGGGGTGCGAAGGCCTGAAGGCCTGAAGAGAGAGAAGCTGCCGTGAGGTGGGTCTGAAAGCCTCAAAGTAGGGGACCCTCAAAATGGCGGCTGTCCATCATGATTTTCAAAGCCGCCACAAGAGCTGTTTGCAAGATGCCGACACCAAGTACCCAGGGTTCTCCTAAAAGTCGTCGCAGGTGAACCAACCGCATAGCACGCTAGCGTCCGAAAGCTGGGAAAATGCGAAGGAGACAATTCATAGCAAAAATTGGTTGAACCAACAAGAATCAGATTGACCGGCGTTGGTCACAACTGGAATGCTCTTTGCCATTTGGAGGGTGCTACGATTTTGGAGCAAAGCTTCGGTTTTGGGGAACACCCCCTAAGGATCTGCCCACTTGATAGGGTCGACATGAACCGTTTGGAGCAAAGACGCCTCCATCAGAATGGGAACGGGTCATGGTGAACATGAAACGTGCCAAGTCCAAGTCTCTTGCAGACCCCGTAGATGTGTTTCTCTCCAACCCAAAACAAAACCCACTTGAACCCATCCCGCGAGGTGGGCTGTAAAAAACACAACAGGTTGAAACAAGTCCACTGGGCCACCGGGCCATGTCCGCACAGTTCCAGCCGTACCGGAAGAACTGGTAGAAGGTTCGGAAGGGAAACACCAGCCTCGCCTGGCACAGGATTTGGAAGTGGGGAGGAATACCCTCAAAGCAGTGTGGAAGGTGCCATGGTTCCGTCGGTATCCGTTGTTTATGTCGTAAAGCAAAAAGAAGTACAAAGACACCATCCATCTCAAGACTTCGCCATTTGACAAGCGGAAGAGAAGGATCAAAGAAATTTCCTCCGCGGAGGCCTAGACCCCCGTACCTACCTGCTGAGTTGACTGGCCAGACAAGCTCAAACTTGCTTGGCCTGACTAACATGATGAACGCATTTACAGAAAAAATAGATAAGTCTGCCATCTGAGCAGGTGAGAAAACGTCTAATGCAAAACTGGAATTCCACGAAAAGTGGACCCATACTCGGCAAATGAGCAGAGCCTGAACAAGAGGGAAATCCCATCAACCCACAACAGCCAGTTCCTCCATTCCTCCCTGCACCTTTCAGGAACGATCTGTACATGAGGCACAAAAGTTGAAAAGCGCAGACGGCATTCCCCCGTCTCGAGCACGATTCCACGCTAGCCGAGGGAGCCTACGGCATCCGGAAAGGCTTTCATCGGGAGCAAAATTTGAGCCACTGCTTCCAGTTGGCCACTACCCCAGAACTATTGCTCTCCAACCAAGGAATCCGACGACCATGTTCCCCAACCAAGGAACCCATGAACATTGTTTGTCCAGCCAAGGCATCCCAGAACTATTGCTCTCCAACCAAGGAATCCCGGCCCTATTTGTTCAGAGAACTATGGGACACATTCCTTGCTTTTTGTTGGGCTCTGTGGAGATGGAAAGCCACCCCTACCAATCCAAAAGCGCCTGCAGTGGATCTGGGTGGGAATCCCCGGGCTGTCGCCGGCTCTCTCTCTGGGCGCCCGGCGATCCAGCCGGAGCGCTTCAGGTAGCCCAGGGGGTTCTGCCCCAAGAAGTTGAAGCAGGTCCTAGGAACCGAAGAAACGGGGGGAAGGAAAAAAAGAGGGAAACACAAAGAAGCGAGAAGAAGAAAGAAGAAGAAAAAAGAAAGAAAAAAAGAAGAAGAAGAGGGGGAAAAAAAAGCGAGAAAAACAAAAAAGCAAGGCCCGGGGCTCTAAGGTGTTCACCCTTCAACTTGGCTTGCCGCTTTGTCAATGTTCTGGGTGCTCCAAGGAAATGGAACAGTGGAAGACACGAAGAAGCGCCGAGATGTTCGTTTGCCCCTTTTCCGAAAGATCAGGGAAGCGGACAGGAGGCTGGAGCCCAAAAGGAAAGTGGCTGTCTTCCAAACGTGTCAGGGGTTTAAAGGGATGCCTGACTAAGCTTGTTGAAAGGTTCTTCTTCAGACCAAGGAATCCCGGCGGCCCCGGGCCGAACATCCCCCTCAACTTTGCCCCTTTCAGCATACCCTAAGGAAAAACATACTCCAGACCCCAGACGCGATTCGTAGAATTTGAGTGGGAAAGATCCGGATGGGTCTTTGCTCTCTTGAAAAAAAGTTGACCTCTGTGTCAGCTCGTGGAGAACCGGGCTGATTCCAATGCCGCAAGCATTTCGGTCAAGACCTTGCCTCCTCAATGGCCAAGGGGCTTGTACATCAGCCACAGCGAGTAGATGGTGAAGATGAAGAAGCACAACGACAGCCTCGGGAATCGAGGCATTTTTCCAGGGCTGCGCCCTTTGGCTTTTGCAGCAACCGCCCTTTGAATCGGAAGGAGAAAGCCCCAACAGGTTGAAAGCCAAATCAGCCAGGGAGTCTCTTCCTTGGTCCAGGCCCGGCGGCCGGGCGGCTAGGGCTAGGCCAATGGCTTTTCTCAGCCCGTTGGACCCGATTAGTGGAAACTTGGCAACTCCAAGCCTGGTTACTGCTGAACCCTGTGCATCAAGCTCTGACTTCTTGTGGGTCCGATGGAAAATTTGCTGTTTCTGAGGGAAAAAATCCAAGGATCCAACCAAAATAGCCTTGGAAACGCTCGAGGAAACGGCTGACCGATGTCTACCCCCCAATGGGCGTTCGATCAGCTTTGCTCAGAACCACCAATGAAGCAACCCAGAAGACGTGGGGACATTAGTGAATCCCTGGTTGTCGGGGAGAAACTTAGTGAGTCCATCTCCCTCCCATACTCTTATCAGCCACGGGGTTCCCGAGCAATTCTTGGAGCAACGAGCGTGTGTTTGTTCTTCAATCTCAAACCTCTACCTACCGCTGCCTATGCGGTACAAAAGGTCCCTCTGCTTCTCTTCTGAAATTCAACCTTGGGGAGCCCAGGTCCTTTTCCCTGGGAAACCTTTTATGTCCAGGTCCTTGGCACCCGCTTTTCCGGTGGTCAACTTGGGTTCCGTCGTCTTTGAGGCTTTCGAGTCTTCTGGGCGGCGGCGCCAAATCAGCAGGAAGAAGGCCACCAGGTTGGAGCCCTGGAAGGACGGGGTGAAGAAGAAGGTCCGCATCGCCGTACTCGTCACCTTGAAGCGAAGCGTCGTTCAGTTCTTTCGAAGCGGAAGAAGGACGGGAACCCCGGGGTGTTTTGGTGTCCCCCTTCAAGCTTCACCCCTACCAAAAGAACGATGCTTGAACCCAAAAGGGTTCTATGCGGACTACGGTTGAGCCTTTTGAGGTGTTTTTTCCCCCCGAAGCTCAGCTTTTGGCCTTGCCTATCATCATACACTAGGAAAATCCTCCGTAGGATGGAGCTTCCAGCTTCCGGAAGCACCATCAAAAGCTGGTGCGAATAGGTACAGTAGAGAACCTCAAAATATCCAATGATGTCATTTGAGCGGTCCCAAGCACAGTGAGGCTCGGGGTCGGTACAAGAGATCTGCCTTCAGGAAATCATCAAACCCGAGATGAGCCAAAGCGGGCCAGTCAGACAATGGGACCTCGGATCTTGATTCACCGTTTTCGGGTGGCTGGGGATGTGCGGGGAAATCAAATGTTGGTCTCTTCGCCAAGAGCCGTCTCCTCCAGGGCATAGAATGCTTTGGATTCAAACGCCACGTACAACCAAACCATTGGGAAGCCTCCCAAGTGGATGGGTCAAGCAGTTCGCCGCAAAAATGGCGAGCCAACAAGTCGAAAGCCTGGCAAAGAAAAAGGCCATGCCCAAGACTGCTTTATCGCTTGGGTCCATCAGTGACACAGAAATCGGCCCCAAACGCAAGGGCTGGATAGACATAGGGGCATACTCACATATTCACCCTGAACCTTATCAAATATAACCAAAGTTCGTAGGTAGCCAACCATAGGTGGCCTTGTAGAAGAATAGATGTCCCTGGTAAATGGAAGAAACCCCACCTAAACCAGTGCCATCTAGTTTTAATCAAACTAGCCTAAAAAGGACAGCTATGTTGCCAAATCGGCGCAACTTCTTCGGCCAAAGGGCAGTGCCAGTCACAGCCCCGTTTGGGGTGAACTCGAAGAGGATCACCTCGTGGAGCGGCGGAAGGGCGGCCCATTCGGGGGCTGGAAGCTCTTTCTTGGGCGTAGGTGGTCCAGGAGTTAGCTAAATTCGTAACTCCCAGTAAACCCTTGAAACCCGGCCGCAAACCCTTATGACGCATTGGCACTAACCCACCTTTAAGCAGCTGTTAGTCCCTTTGGTGTCCCTTTCAAACAGCTCCCAGGAAAGAAAAACTGCCCTCAAACACAGAATGACGCACCAACGTACTGCAAGAGGCCCCGTTTTTAAAAAAATGCGTCAGGTCCAACAAGAAACGCCCTGGGTTGACTTCCCTTAGCCAAATCATGAAAACCCACCCCCCCGAAACGGACGGCCCGCCTCCAGCCCCCATGGTGGAATTTGCCAGCCTTTTCGGCCAAAACGGAACCCTATGTTGGATTTCCCCCATTTTGAGACGAACCCAGGTGCTTCGAAAGAAGCAATAGCAAGATATATTCCTAAATGCACTTGCTTCGTTGGGCGGCATTGACCAAACTAAGCCCCCGCGACAAGTCCGCCGACATTGTTCGGCGTGTCGGATACCTAAGAGAGGACTATTGGATACCTAAGAGAGGATAGAGGATAACCCCCCCCTTAGTCCCCCCCCGGGACACGTCAAATACGCATGGTTTTTCGGTCGCCACCCCCCCCCCCCCCGCGTACCGCGCGGCAATTTGATGACGTTCCACTAAACGTAGTCTTCGGGGAGCGGGTCTGGAGGTTTTGTGCTGCCTTTTGCGGAAACTTTGAGACACACGGTGTTCGGTGTTTTTCCTTTGCTGACACCATTAAAAAAACATTGTGTTTTCCGATTTCCTTGACAATTGGCACCAATTTCCCCCCAATTTCCCCTAATTTCCCCCAATGTTTCCCCGCAAATTGCGCCTTACTTTCTCGCCAATTCCCTCCCCCTTTCCTTTCAATTTCCATCCGACTTCCCCCCAATTTCCCCCCCAGTTTCCCCCAAATGTCCTGGCAAATTCCCCAACCCCAGCTTCCTTCCAAGTGTCGCCCCCAATGTCCTTCGTGTCGGATACTTGGCCGCCCGTGCGGCAGTTTCATGACGCTCCACTAAACAAAGTCTTCGCCCTTGCGACTTGTCACGACCCTTGCGATGCCCCTGCGGGACCCTGTGACGAGTCTTCAATCCCGGCTCCGAGTGTGCTCTGGAAAATCCTGTCCTGTTCACACCCTTGCGTCTTGTCACGACCCGTGCGATGCCCCTACGGGACCCTATGACGAGTCTTCAATCACTGGAAGCTGCCTTGTGCGGAAAACTTTGAGACACACGGTGTTCGGTGTTTTCCCTTTGCTGACACCATTGAAAAAACATGGTGTTTTGCGATTCCGCCGACATGACGTTCCACTAAACGTAGTCTTCGGGGAGCGGGTCTGGAGAAACAAGCATGGTGTTTTGCGATTCCGCCGACATGACGCTCCACTAAACGTAGTCTTCGGGGAGCGGGTCTGGAGAAACGGGGGTCCCAGGCTCGAATCCTCCCGCCGCCTCTTTCTGCCGGCTGAGGTTGTGTGCTGCCTTTTGCGGACAACTTTGAGACACACGGTGTTCGGTGTTTTCCCTTTGCTGACACCATTGAAAAAAACATTGTGTTTTCCGATTTCCTTGCCAGTTGGCACTAATTTCCCCCCAATTTCCCCTAATTTCCCCCAATGCTTCCCCGCAAATTGCGCCTTACTTTCTCGCCAATTCCCTCCCCCTTTCCTTTCAATTTCCTTCCGACTTCCCCCCAATTTCCCCCCCAGTTTCCCCCAAATGTCCTGGCAAATTCCCCAACCCCAGCTTCCTTCCAAGTGTCGCCCCCAATGTCCTTCGTGTCGGATACTTGGCCGACCGTGCGGCAGTTTCATGACGCTCCACTCAACAAAGTCTTCGCCCTTGCGACTTGTCACGACCCTTGCGATGCCCCTGCGGGACCCTGTGACGAGTCTTCAATCCCGGCTCCGAGTGTGCTCTGGAAAATCCTGTCCTGTTCACACCCTTGCGACTTGTCACGACCCGTCTACGGGACCCTATGACGAGTCTTCAATCACCGGATGCTGCCTTGTGCGGGAACTAGAGAGGACAGAAGAGCATACTAGGGGGACACGGGCAAGAGGAAGAAGGAGACAAGCTAGATGCCAATGTCGGCGGACTGAGCCGGAGGCTCTAAAGTTGGTCAGAACCCACTGTACACATCGCCCGTTCGGGGCTGGAAGGATGGCTCGGCCAATCCGAAGTTCCATGTAGCCACAAAGGACCAAGACCCCTTCGGCCCAGGCAAAAGAGGGACCAGGGCTGGGGGAAAAATGCACCGCTTCCGGTCTTATGGGCGTGAATAAGACGTGCTAAATGTCCCAGCTAAAGCGCTGCCATGCTGGAAAGCTCCTGGCCGTGACTGTGGCCATGTCCCTCTGAAGCTACGAGGCAAAATTCTAGGTCCTCCAGAGGAGAGGTTAGAATAAGGGTACCAATTTTGTTCTGTAGTCTATTTGGTAGGGGAACCCTCCCAACAAAATAAAAAAAGGTAAAAGGGCATGGGGGACCTAGATATAAATAGAAATCGCGGAAAGGGGAATACTCGTCAACAATTTTTGACCTCGCGCCCGGAACCCGTCTGATCTGCCGGGGAGCTGTATTCACCTGCACGAGATGCGGCGATCTTTTTCAAAGGCACCCCTTCTTTGAACCCCCCTTCGCCTCAACCCCCCCCCCCCACCAAAAAAAACACGAACCAACCACCCGAGCAAGCAAACAACCAAACACACCAACAAGCAAAACTATCAAGGAAACGAACCACGCAAACAAACAAACAAACAAACAAACAAACAAACAAACAAACCAAACCAAACCAAACCAAACCAAACCAAACCAAGCCAAACCAAACCAACAAACAAACCCCACACACCTGAAATAGTCCAAGATGTTAACTCCATTGTATGTGGGGCAATGGTGGGCCCGAGGGTTGCTCACACAGGTGGGAGAAGGAAACGGTGAAAGCTTGGGCGGAAATGGTCCCAGCCCCAGCCGCCCCCCCCCACCAAAGCTTCCCAATTTAAAGGAAGCAATGAGTAGGAACAGTTCTACAGAATGAGTGCCCTCCCATATCTAGGCGAGCACGAGAAAACCACAAATTAGTCCTCAAATTTTGGATTCCTGACATGAGCCATGGTCAATATGAGTTCTACCAACCTTTGGACTTGGAAAGCAACCCGCACTTCCTCATGGAAACTCGGTGAGTCTGGCCGGTGTCCAAGCTCCTTCCGTCGCCATCAGCTGCTCTCTCGGCCCGACGCCAATCGATTTCCAGGTGCCATCTTCGGGTCCAAGGCTCCGAATACTATCCCTGGAAAAGCAAAGAAAGAACCATCGCGGACCTCTGCAAAATGGTTGGTCTCCAGGTGCACGAAAAACCCAACCTCTAATTCAAGAGCACAATGGAAGGCCCTTTCTCTTTCGGCCTTGTGTAGCGCAGGGGCTTATCCTTATACTTGAAAATGACTCAGTCGGTCGAATCGCCGAAAAAGCAAGACAATGAACTGTTTGCAGGTCCAATGGAAAATCGGATAGCTTCTAGAAGATCGAAGGGGCTCTGTCCCAATCCATCAAAGACCAGAACAGGCTGCAAAATAATGACCCTGCGCTCTGTAAAGCCATGATATCAAAAAAGAAACCAAAAGGTTAGATCCGGTCGATGCTGGTCCGAAAACCAAAGGAAACTAAACAGACTTGTCTGGTGTGGTCATCCAAAGACTTGGAGCATCCCCTGTTTGCTATGTTGGAGTAGGCGTCACATCGCATCGCAACTATCACAAACCTTCGCGCGATCTTACCGAGGCCAAGTGGCGATGACGTTGACGTTCGTACTCATTGTAGTGAGCTCTATCACCACCCTCAGGCACGCGGTGGTAACTCTCCCACTTCGCCAGTGGGCCATGCTGCGGTTCTGGAAACGAACGGCACCACAACCCAGAAAAGGATCCTGGAACCTGCTTAGGAGGGCTTAGAAGGGTTCTGAGAAACATTCTGGGCCCTGATGAGTAAACCTACTATTCATAGCCGTATGCTGTTGAAAGCCGCATGGCCACACCTACCAAACAAGTAAAAGTGTCTACTTTCGGGTGGGAACGCTGTCGGGTATCCTCTGTTGATTCGACGGGAGTAGCCGGAAATGAGGTTCGGGAACCTACACCAAAGAAACCTGACTAATTCCCTGACTTCTTTTTGATGTGCCGTTGAAACCATCCAAGGATTCCAGTTTTGAGACGAACCCATGTGAAGCATTCTGGAACATGCATGGCTGCGCCCCAAAACTACAATGTTCAGTGCATTTCACAGGAGCTTCAACCGAGGGTCGATTCCAAAGCAATCATACATGCATGTTGTGTCAAAACCAGAACCCTCCAAAGCGGCTTGCTGGGCTTTCCAGCTTGTCAGCTGCACTTGGGAATCTTCACCCAGGCTTATGAAGCGCCTATGCCCAGCCTGGTAAACATCGCCACTAAACAGCAAGAGAATCGGCCTAAAAGTTGAGGCCCAAGCGACCAGCAAAACTGCTTCCTTGGGGGCGGAAGCTTCTAACACAACCGCCCAGCCAAATCGCTCTCGAAGGCTGAAGAGGCTTTGTGCTGCTTCCCTGTGCCATGATCAAACTGCGTATGTGGGTCATGATCATAGGGTTCAGCCCAAATGAAACAAAAGTCCCAACTTAGGCAAACAATGGTGGTTACATTAACCCCCTTGTTTACTGCACTTTAAAGGAATTCCGAAGGAAAAGCGGCCTTTGACTGGTTGGGTTGCTTGAAGAAAATTGCGGCCACTTTTTGGGAAAAGGAGTCTCTAGCCAATATTCAGCAGGTGTCCCGGGGACAGCGCCACCCAAAGCAATCCGGATCCTCTCCAAACGGGACACAGTCTCATTCATTAAACAGGGGCATACTCCTGGCCATGTCAGCCCAAGTAGAGCATGAATATTGACCACTGAGCCAAGAAACACAGAACTGTTGCATCCACCAGGGGCCGTCTTTTGCTGTTCGAAATCCGACCTCCAACAGCAACCCGCTGTCTGAAAAAACAACCTCCTCGGTGAAAAGGAAAGCCAATCACTGCGGTGACCGTGAAAAGGTGGGAATGTCAATGATTACTTCGCTGCAGAGGAGATTTCCTCTTGTATCACGGGCAGTGGCAAGGTGAAAACCAGTTCGACGGTGGGAGCTGGCCAAGTGCGTGGTTAACCCCAGCCATGCCCAGCTTACACCCCCGGGAATACTAGATAATCATGCGGCGATCCCACAAATCACAGCGCAGTTTCCCACAAGCAAACACCGTCTCCCACAACACCGATAGCGGTCTTGCGGTCCGCGGCGCGAGCGGGTGAGCCTATCCACCCACCGCCAGGTCTGCAGGTCACGTAAGAGGCCCACCGCGTGGCTCTTGTTGGCCGGCAGGTCGATGAAGTACCCCGAGCCTGGCCCAAACCGCACAGGCATCCCAGGACCCAAAGAACCTGCAAGGAAATCTCAAAGGAACTCGAAGGAACCGAGGAACCTGACGAAATCCCCGAACACCCCCGAAGAGAACCCGAAGAGAACTGAAGCAAGCCCTCAAAAGCACGAGGCACAAAAGAAGACCCAGAAGCCACTACCAAACTTTTGAGGTGAGGAACCTGTTAAGCAAAACCCGCAGTCAAACCGAAAGAACCCTAAAGAACCCATCGGGAAACCACTAAAAAACCCACCAAAAGCCCAGAGAAACTCTCCTAAAAATATGTGAAGAGCAGAAGCTAGAAGAACACCCCAACACCGGAAAGAGCCGGGGCGGCCATCGCCTTCCTTACTTCCTCAGCGCAGGCAAGTCAGTTGTTGTTTTCGAGGGGCACCTTCCCCATTCTGTCCAGGGATCTTTCTTTCTAGAAAACCTCCAAAAACCCAGGGAAAAAGGCCCGATTTTGGGAAACAACGATGGTTGAAAAGAATGGGGAATCAACCCCTAGATGTTTGCTTGCCGCCAATGGTCTTCAACACCAAGTCCAAGTCCAGGACAGTTCGTGTCTCCGCTGGTGGCTCTGCTTCATCCAGTCCTTTCTGAGATTCGCGAGCACATTTGCCAGTGAAGAGACATGTAAACGTTGTTGTCCAACAGCTTAAACGTCGTTGTCCAGGCCTTGAGAGAAACGACGCTACAGGAAATGGCTCCACACTATAAAACATCGCCGTTGCTCAATAAACCCATGCGGGAAACCCTGTTTTTGTGTGTGTGTTTTTTTGCGGCCGGCTCGAGTGCCAACGGCCACGGGGGCACACGGGAGCGTCGGAGCGTCGCCTGAGTACATGGCCGCATTGCCGCGGATGGCGATCTGCTTGGTCTCTTCCACCGGGCGCCACTGGTACGCCTCACGCGTCGAGGTCAGCCTAGCGCTTCACCTTACTTAGCGACCCGTCTTTCGGAAATTGGCCACACATGCAAATCTGTGTGGTTCCACAAAGGAAAGATGCGGGGAATGGTGGATCAACCTGTAGAAGTCCGGCGAAAGGAAAGTTTCGTCTGGAGAGAGGAACATGTGTCCCTTCTCGGGTGCTTGCAAAGGAAAACCCAGAGGATGAAACTGAAAAGCAACCCCGGAGGATATGGATTGTCCCCAAAACAAACGCGCCACATGTGTAGGTCAAAAATGTGGTTCGCGTTGTCATGACACCCTCGCAATGGTTGTCTGACAATCAACCTTGCCCACCATCGTGGCATCGCCGTTGGCCCCGGCGTACGAATGAGCCATGATAAATTCCTGGAAAACTCCTTGATCCCTTCTTGCAGTATTGCAATATTCAGGGAATCGACCGCACCCTGGCGGACTTCCTGCAAATATGGTTATATACCCTCCCTCCAACCATCTTAAAAGACTTTCCCACTGCACTTCCACTGGAAAGAGCGTAGCTCTGCACCCGTCACATGAAGAGGCTACCACACGACGGCCTTCGTAAGGTACGTGGGCGCGAAGCGGGGGTCAAAGGGCTCCTGCGCCCGTCGCTTGCCGCAGACGCTGGCGAGTGCGGGGGGCCAGGCAACGGGCAGGGGCAAAAGCAACCGAAAGCAACCGTCTGAGGCACACAAGTGGAATGGAGTAATGTTGGCCTCCAAGAAAACAATGGAACCCTCGTTTCAACCCCTCCCACGAACATGGAAACCCTCTTTCCAACCACGTGGTTCCGAACACGGAACCCTTTTTTACTTATTTTTTTCGATTGTCAATCTTCCAAAGCCCTGCGCACAGGGCTCCTGAAAAATTTGGTCTCCTGGGTTAGTGGCCTCCAGATCCGAGCTTGGACAAGGGTCAAAAGGCCACTGCCCTGTGTCTAACATCCCTCTGGCCCCGACAATCTGCACATTTGCACTGAGACTTCAACCAATGCCCAAATGTTCTCATTCCATGGAGCCAGCGGACACTTTGGGGACCAGTGGTAAATGCGTTATTTGCCCATCATCATTGCTAACCACATACTGTCATACTGTACTAAACATGGCCCCATCCAGACAAAGGGCATCCAAACGGTCTGGGGCAAACCAACTTGAGCAGAAACTACCCCAGCCGGGGAAAAAGGACAAGGGAAACCGAGAAAAGCAGCGTGAAATCCCGGTGAGCCGGGGATATGAAGCTCACTCACAAGAACCCCACCGATTGGGGATATCTTTCTGGGGATATCCCGTTCTCTTATCGCGACGAGGCCCTCTTTGCCGTGTCCACAACTTCTGGGCCCTCGAGGTGCAAATGAGAGATCGCGGTCCTGGCTTTCGCGGGTCTCGTCGTAGGTGGAGTAGCAATCCTTCGAGCAGCCCGTGGGCCCGGGTTTGAAACGGGGGGGGAAAGGAGGGCTGTCGTTGGAAGCTCCCCCTTAAGCTCCCCCTCTGGAAGCCGTGTGTCCATTGGAGCTTCTATGATCGCCTGGGTAGCATGGCCAATTTTAAAGAGTTGGACCTACCTAAGTGGCTGACGGGGTCTCCCAGATAGAGTTCACACACACACATATGATAAACCCTGGCTGTTTGATACGATGGAGCAACCCATCTTAAAGGAGCTCCAGATCTCGTGGGCATCGTTGTGTGAAAAGAGGATTGAGACACATAATTTGGTTGGATCAAACCCAGGTGTAGGACCCCGACATCACTTTCACCAACCGCCAGATCAAGATCCGGAAACGTACGTTGAATCGGCACGAAGCAAGCGGGTCGAAGGGAACTGCGGGGTGCAAAGATGCGAACTGCAAAGAGGGCCATGTGAAAGACCCCCAAGCAATTGGTCACTGCTGCCCTTGGCAAGTACCCCTTGTTTTTCCTGTTCATAGGGTCATGGTAAAGGGCACTGAAGGCAAAAGGTGCCCATGTTCACTGAAATGTGGCCGGGTGAGTGATGGCCATCCCTGCCAACCAAGCAAAGGAGTGCTTGACAGTGGCAC